CTCTCTCTCTCTCTCTCTCTCTCTCTCTCTCTCTCTCTCTCTCTCTCATATTCAAGAGAAGACACTCACACAATGTAGTTAATTAGGGGATGCTTTTACAGCTTTTTGGGACTCAGGTTTCTTTGATTAAGGAGCACAGAAGTTTCTTTTCACTTGATGAATAAGATACGGGCTGGATTTATGCTCTGGTTTCCATCAGACGCCGTGGGCTTTGTTTAATATGTTGGAGATTTGTCTCAGAGCCACTGTGACACTTTTTCAGAAGGTCAGCGGCCAAACGACAGACTTTGTCTGTCTTTTAACATTGAACTGCTAAATAACAAGGATCCCAGTGGGATTCAGTCTCTTTTTCATGTCTCTAAAGCCCAAGAAACTCGACCTGACTCAGTTTATTCTCAGTATAGTTTCAAGTTTTCAGAGGAAATGCTGTCAGTTGTGGATGGCTCATTGTAAACGAGACCAATCCAGTGTCACCTCCATCAGCACACCGCTCCGGGGCAAGGCCAAAGCTGGAGATCCTGAAGTTATTTTAGAGCATCACTCACTGTTTTTCCTCGGAGGAGAGTGCTTATTGATTTTGTCAACAGAGCATCGATTTCTCTCTCTCTCTCTCTCTCTCTCTCTCTCTCTCTCTCTCTCTCTCTCTCTCTGTCTCCCCTCGGCGAAGAAACCACAGCTGAATGCTGGCGAGCAAAACCCCAGAGTGATATACTGTAATATACTTTTTCTGTTTTGGAGTTTTAGATAAAGTCTTCAAAGGACCTATTTCATCTGTTGTTTTGTTGGATTTGTGACCCCCATCGGGCTGCTTCCTAAAATGAACCATGACGAGAACTCTATGTTGTCTTTCTCAAGAAGAAGATGGATATTTGTTTCTTCAGTATTGCATATTTTTGTGGCAAATGTATGGAGGCCTTGAGAGGGAAGTGAAAACTTTTTTTCCCCTTACAAAACTTTCCCCAACTTTCCTTTCCTACCTGTTTCACAGATAGAAGAAAATTTAGAAACTTCAAAAGATTATCCTGGCAAAGACTAGAGAAAAGAATATAGATGATATATGATTTCTCTTTTTTCCCACTTGCCTCTCAGGGATTCCATAAAATTACAGTCAGAAGTTTTCCTTATTTCCTTTCAGAGTATAACAAAATCATGCTCCAAAATTGGCTCATTTGTCTGTTATTCCTCTCTATTAAAATGAAGGGTGGGCTGACAGGTGTTTGGTGCCTGCTGAGTAGAATAAAGGAACAGCGATTACGAATGCTGAAGGGAGAAGTCTGTTGCGAGGTCTCATTATTTTCAGCCCATCTGGACTGTACGTCGTCTCTCTGCTGCTTAAAGCAACCCGCTCCTCCTTCCGTCTGTGTGTGTGTGTGTGTGTGTGTGTGTGTGTGTGTGGTGTATACTGTAGCTGTATGCACGCATCAGGGAGCACTAGCTATAGTCTGCTGATTATAGCTGAGAAAGGTGTCACTGTGTTTGCAGCAAGCTGCTAGAGCTGTCTGACAGTCGGTAGGTGACAGAGTTAACTGCCGGTCCAATAGCTCCAGTCAGGTCCACAGAGTATAGGGCAACAACATTTGGTGGAGGAAACAAGAAGAAATGTGCCTCTTTTAATTATAATAATGTAGCTGAGCAGCGTATCTTCGGGTCTTGAAAGGTCTTAAAAAGCCCAGACTTCGTGTCCAATAATAACTTTAGTAAAAACCACACCACAGATTAATGAACATGTCTCTCCGACCTTCCAGCAAGCAACTGAATGCACCATCACGGGAGAGTTGGCCTTTGGCATAAACACAATAAAGTGACATTGTCCAAAGTAAAAGAAGACGTCTAGTTCTGGATTTAGTTTCAAGACTCTTGGTTGATTTTTATGCTGCGTTGAAGGTTAAAAAAAGGTACAGATGTGAAAATCAAAACTTAAATCCTTACAGTTATAACAACACATGTCAAGCTGTGAGAGCAGCGGCTGAGTTCTCGTCACACAAACACAACGTTCCTCAGCTGGAGGGCATAAAACAAATGTTTCGACAGGACATGATTACTGGAAACATTGATTATATGGCTGTGGGATCACACTATTTTAAATTAAAGAAACCCTCTCACTCTTGTTCTCTAACTTCCCCTGGCACTGAACTCTAAATGTTCAGGTTTAATTCAACCAATAAGATTAGGCTTCTTTCTTCTTTCTTTCAAGCAGCTCTGCCTCTGAGAAAGGTTTTTCTGTAATCAGTAAGAAACTCAAAGCCTTAAATCTCAACACAAAAGACTCATTTCATACTGTTTTTATTAAAGGTAAAGCAGCAGCAGAGATCATGTGAACGATGTGTGTCAAACCCCCGTGAATCTGTTTGATTTTACTGCGTCATTGGCTCGTCATGGTCGTACCGCCGCTAATGCCTCTCAAGCCCACCCGGCAAAATTACCACCGCTCTCGGTCCCGGCTCGAGTTCTGTGTCGCCGGTGATTGCCGTGAAAGTGTCAGCTGTCCGAGAATCCTTTGTTTAAATGGCAAGTGGAAAATGCCAACATCTGTTACCTCCACTAAATTGGCTGAAGCTGTTGAGTCGGGTCTTGTCCTGCTGGTCGGGGACCGATCATTAGGAGTCTGCCACCTCTTGATGGACCGAAGCGCTGGCTTAGGTGCTGATCCAGTGTCCCAACTCTGCAGGCCAACACGTTTTATTTCACCTCAGTCAGTTGCTATAAACACAGAAATGTGGCTTTCTTCTCTGCAGCGTTCCACTTCTCCCAGAAGTTCTAACCCAAACTCTTTCCCGTTTGCTCCCTCCCCAGTGCCGTCATGGGCCATCTTCTCGATCGCCTTCGTGGCCATCATCCTGGTGTTAGCATGCTGCTTCTGCGTCTGCAAAAAATGGATATTCAAGAAGAAAAACAAAAAGAAGGGCAAAGACAAGGGCAAAAATGCCATCAACATGATGGACGTCAAGGATGGAGCCAAAACCGAGGTAAAGACTTTGACCTTTTGTCGCTTAGAATTTGGAAACATATCCTCGAACAATTAGTCTTTGCTGGATCTTGCACGATGTTAAGGTAAAAGTAAAACTAATATTTGTCCAGAAATATATCCTGTAACGTTTAGTGTTTTTAAGTTTTTTTTGCTCTATTCGACATTTTCTTTTAATATTTTTAGTGCTTCTAATGCTGTATTATGACAGATTTGATTGATCACATTTGCAGTTGCATCAACACACCAACAGAATGAGAGTAATGTCGCTGCAAATGTGGCGATCAAAAACCTCCCTAATTTTTCTGCATTTACTGTTACCGTATGTATTTTGTATGTCTTATGTATTAAGTATTGCCAAAGATATACATACAGTATTACTTACTATGATATTTCATTTACTTAAAAGTAGAATTCAGTCTAATTACAGGAGAGTCAATGGAAGCCATTTAAATGGCTTCAGATTGAAGAGAGAGTGTTTCAATCTCTCTCTTTTTCTCCTACTTTTCGTTTCCTGTGAGTGTTCCTTTTTGTCATATGAGGACCTGCTCACATGTTGAAGAGTGTGAGTAACGTTTGCCGTGTAATGAAGTGGTATCCACCCAGAGAAATGACATCACCGAACCATAAGCAAACGGGAGGGGAAATGTAATCGAACCCTTACACCAGTACAGAACGGGGAGCGATGAAAAGCCCCGACACTTCAAATGGCGTTAGTGCACTAATTGCTGAGGCGGCGCATCATTATACCGCCGTCTTCAGTGGAATCATGCACAAAGTGTGTTCAATTTGCCGCAACACCTCTGCTATTAGAGGTGGATCCGAATCGTAGACTGAAACCGCTGATTACTTATTGTAGAAGAAAGCACGAATTAAGATGTAGATGTTAAAGACTCGTTTATTTTCTAACGTGACAGAGAGCAGCTTTAACAGCCAGCGTGGTCGAACAAATAGCTGCACTCTCACTTGTGCTTGTTAGCGGAGAAGATTTCCCATTAATTTCCAATATTCTGGCCGCCTTAGAAGCATCCATTTTTTTTCATATTTTCAAATAGCCATTAATCAAAATAAAAGACCCCAGTTATTGGTCGCCCCTCGTACCTAATCTCTGAGATCGGTGAATATGCCACTTCCGAGGCAAGCGGTCATTTCTCCTGGTGTGCCCAGACTCTGGTGTGGTAACTCCTGCGTGTGGTTGTTTTAATTTGTGTTTCTTCCTTCTATGTCCTCCTTATCTGTGTTGTGTCTGATGACTGTTCGGGATGGTCACTGGCGGTAGGTTCCAAATTGCTGTTGGATCTTCTTAAGCCTGCTGCTCTGATGTTTTATTTTTTATAGCCTCTTGACAACAACTTACTCCCATAGAACCAAATATATGTAACTATGCATACAGTACATGTATATCTGCTGTATATATATGTGTGTACAACCTGCGTACGCACATATATATGTATGAACGAAACACTGGGTGCGCATTGACAAGGTTGAACCGTGCTGATTGTTGGTGCTAAGCTAAAGTCTCCTGCCTTTTGAATCTTTAATTTACATTTCAAACGAGGGGCGGCGAGCGACCGTAGAATGATTGAGAGGCTCTACAAGTAAACACTCCTTTGAAACTGTGGATGAAAAGGAAGCTTTTGACGTACAGTAGAATTTGCATTCACACCTGTCAACCCACGTGAAACAGATCGCACCTTTCCTGCAGCACTGGATGCGCAGAAATTGGATTAACCTTATAAATTCACAGGTTTGATAAATTAGAGGGATTTTATTTCCTCAATCATTTTACCTGCTCTACTTTAAGAAAACCAACAAAAAAAACACTCAATTCAGATTTCCTCCCAAAAGGCAGAGAGCAAAGTGGCTCAGCATAAAATATAAAAAAAAAACAATCAGTGTTGTTCAGCCTTTTTGCTTTCACATGAGCAACTTGACAAACTAATAGGAGCAGCCCCCCCGGTATACATCACAACCCCTTTTACCAACACCTACCCACCCACTGCTGGCATGATGCTTGTAGCTACCATCGACGTAGGGGATCACATAAGAGCTTTAGGGGTTATGGTGACAATGCGACTGTTTGTCTTGAGGGCGTAACCAGACTTGGGGAATGGGGGAAATCACACCAGAGCACTGGTTTGTATGACAGAGAATGCTCTGCATGCCCAACGAAAGTGACATCTTGGAAGGCAACTTTTGACGCTGAATGAATGATCTTGAGAGCTAGTCTTTGCCTCTTCAAACGCATGTTGGTCTTATAACAAACTCCCCCACCAGCACCCCTCCTCTCCTTCCCCCCCTCCAGCACCAGCACCACCACCAATGCTCCTCCCCCTGCTGCCTTTACCTCAGTGCCAGGCTAGCGATAGGGCAACTTCACTTCTCACTCTCTGCCACTATCAGACTTGTCTTGCTGTGATCTTTCCTGGAAGCATCTCTCTCTCTCTCTCTCTATCTCTCTCTCTCTCTCTCTCTCTCTCTCTCTCTTCCAACTGTCCTCTCTCTGTGTCTCTTTACATGGGCTGTACCCGAGTCAGAATTTATTGAAATTGGTTTCGGCTATTCGTTCCTTTTTTATCTGGCAATCCGGAAATCCAGTGACATGAGTCTCAGTGATGATTTTGACCACACTGACATGTCAAATGCGGCTCGCCGTAGTTTTATAATGAACATGTTTTAACATTTCTCAATGGGCGGGGTCAGATGGATTCATTCATTCATTCAGCAGCTCGGGGAAGATCCCATCATGGACATCATCTCCCCGGGACGCTGGCCCTCGCCGGGCGCATTTCCGACTCGGGGTGAACGTCGCTCGCCCAGACGGAGCTCTCTGCAAACCCACTCGTCTTTAAGACACGGTTTACAATGCTTTGTGGGTGTAACTATTTTGCCGTGTAACCAAAATGCATATCTATACAATCCATATGTTCATGTTTAGATTGTTAATAGGACCACCAAGTTCTTTATAGATATAAAAAAAAAAAAAAAATGGCTCGACTTGAAGAATTTCAAGTCGCCTGAGGGTTCGCCTCTGTTTGATTTGACTCCTCGACTTTCAGGGAGCAGCCCTTCTCTTTATTCTCTCCTCTTCTTCCTCTAATGCCTGCCCATCGCTCTTATCTCTGGCCACATCATTTGATCTTTCCTCCCTTTAGACAGAAACACCCAGAGATTGATAGAAAAGCATCTTCAGGGGAACAGGCCCGGCACTTTAGTGCATCACAGAGCATGTCCTGGTGTTAACTGCTATGGTGTTTTAGTGCTTGCTCCCCCCCTTATTACACCATAAAACAAGTGGCAGCTTTTACAGGAGTAGGTCCGGTGGCAGGACCTGGGCGGGGAACGGCTGGCTGGGTGCTAGCACCAGCGACAAACAGGCGACACTGACTCTTGGTGGGTGTCTCCTTCAGGCCTTGAAGGATGAGGAGGAAGCAGAGACAGGGCTGACTGAAATGGAGACAGAGGCAGAGCCCAAGGAGGACCAGAAACTGGGCAAATTACAATACTCCCTGGATTACAATTTCACCGAGAATACGGTAAGGGTCTGTTCTCCGAATCTCCCTGTGTGTGGTGTCGTTGTTGCGAAAGGTCCTCCTTCGTAAGTATGGTTCACGCCCGACTTCTGAGGGGGTCCAACTTTTCATCTCTCCAGAGATTAAACAGGACCCAACCCAGGTTTTGCACAACATTCTCCTTTTGTTGCGTCGCCACTGCTGTTTGATCACTGAAGCTTGAGAGCAATCTCACAGGGATATCACGCTGGTCGAGTTTGTTCATTCGCTACTGAGCCTTGTGAAAGATACAGTAGGCTATTGGGATTTGGTTAGTCTCTGAATTTGTTTGTTTCTTTCTACTTGATTGAAAACAGCCCCTGCAGAAACCCATCTGCTTTATTCTTTTTCCAGCAGGCTGAGTTAAAAAAAAAAAAAAGAAGCAGAATGAGGAAGCACATCAACTTTGCTGCCACCAGATGTTGCGTGACAGATAATAGACACGGTGCGTGAACACAGCGCTGTCCCTCACTGGGCTAGCTAACTCCCCATTATGAACAGAACTGACAGCCAGAGATTAGACGGTTGCACTGCTCATGTACACACCGAGTCACACACACCGGCTTAGGTACATCTCCCTTACAATAACTAAAAGACTAATAAAAATGTTCTCATGTTTGTGTCCCCTTCAATCATCAATAATTATTAGCGCCTAACCTGTCATCAATGCACAGACTAATTAGTGTTCAGACACCCAGGCCCTTATTTCTTTTAGAGGGAAAGGTATTGAGTCATTTCATAATAAAAAGGGATATTATGTGGACAATATTACATTTCACAGAGGGATCTGTCATCTAGTGGGAGGCAATGACAGGTCTCTCTATAAGGTTCTTGATTACACTGGTAATAGGCTCCACAGTGGAGCTAAAGTGTAATGAATGGGTGACAGTTTTCACACCGCACACGGCTCATTGCCGCTCTGAAGCTAAAGAAGCTCACAACAGACGGACCTAAAAAGAAAAACCCGGCCAGGCAGCCGTTCATCTGACCCACTTTCAGCTCAGTGACGGACATAGTGGCCTTCAGGAAATGTTTATTTTTCATCCTCAGGCTTTGAGGCCCATGCAATCAATGTGAGCGCCACAGAACTGCTGGAGGAGAGGGGGGGGGGGATCGGTTTGATGCCGCGGCTGTAGCTTCCTTTACAAAGTAGAAGGCTGCGTGTGAACTACTGAATACGTGGCAGCTGTTAAAGAGATGATATTACAGAGAACAGGGAGTCTTGGGATAATTTGTAGTCAGAGATTATATTCGATCACAACTGAAGCATGACGATGGTACTTTTCAGTGCCTCCCTTTCTATTTGACGAGATGAAATTTCATTGTTCAAGCCCAGTGTCTCTAGAAATTAGGTTCGTGTTGGACGGTTCTACAGCACGCGATTTAAGGACAGAATGCCCGATGTGAAAAACTCAATGTGATGTCCGAACCACATCTAAAGGCAAAAGTGTTTGTATCTTTGCTGAAAGGATCGACTCAAAGTGACAACATTAGACATCGCAGTGCCAATGCAGAAAGTCGTCTTCCCTTTATGCAGTGAAGTCGGGGTGATAGATGGGTAGCATGTTCAACCCTCATATTGGAGACTGCCGTTTGCGTCCCATCACAGACCAATACTTCGTGCATTATTTGCCCTGTAACTATGATATTTTTATAACCCTGAGCAAGAGTTTTAGTTACTTAACTAAAACGTAATGTGGATGTTAATTTGCCTCGTCTGTTCTGTAGTTGCAATGCACCGATGCAGATTTAAATGAGGTATTAGCAGGTAACAGGTGGTCACAAATCTTAATGTGATCTGCAGGGTTTTGCAGGATTATCCAATTTAAATCTTCAGTCTGGGTTAGAAAGTGATATTCAGTATCTAACTCCTAATTTAGGGTCTGAACCAGATGTTGTATCCATTTAGATATGATATGTCAACACGCATATATTTTGTGTCATACCAATTTGTCTCAAAAATTAGAAAACACGCCTCGTTTAAGATGCTGCCGTAAGCGCTATTAAATGTCCCCTTCGTGGCTTAAGAGATCTGTCGCTAAATGTTTCATCGGGCCAAGAAAAAAGGGGGGAACACTGGTTTGTGTGTGTGCGGAGACTGAGGCAAGATCAGACTTAAGTGTGAGGAGACGAGCAGATTAATGCCAGGTCCTCATGGCAAAGAGCTCCGGCTTTGTTTCCGTCTGTTAACCACCACAACTGGCTGCTTCACCCGGTGTTGATGACTCTGAGTTTATACACTAATGAGACAAAAGGTTTTGTAAAAGATCCCAATCACTCAGGGAGCGACGACGCGGCTGCATCGGGCAAATGAACCACAAAGAGCCTCCTCAGCGCAGCAGGAAGGGAATTATAATGTCATTCCTACTTTCAACATCATTACCATATTCATTTGCAGGTCAAGACCAGGCCTATTGTATTGTGTCCAGTCAGAGTATGTGAAATTTGAACTCATCATTAAAAAGGGATGAATTTCAAAACATTCATGTTTCTTTTTTTTTTTTTATCATTTATTTCCAGAATTTCCCCCGAGACGGGTCATTTCTGAAATACAACACAAAGCTGCTTCATTAAATATTAGTCATGAAAAGGACTATTGGTCCTCTTTGGAAGTGTGTGTGAAGTGGTCACAGCAGAGCCGTGATGCATTTGGGACGAAGCCGTCCAAGATGAGCTGCCAAGAGGCTGAATCACCGTCCTGCAGCTGCTCTGTGCTGCTCACTGGACTGAAGAGTAACAGACAAACAGAGACGGGTTAATACCAGCAGCTCTCTGTCTGCCGTGATAGAGTCTTTAGTTAAACAGAAACACCCACACAGATGTGCAAACATTTGATTTATTTAGTTTAGCTCTCAAAGGTGTGATGATCAAGGTGTTAGAGTTATAATTAGAAATAGAGGATTAGTTGATTAGTAGAACTACAGAGTTGTGAAGCGGAGAGGAGACAATAATTGAAAAAGTGTTTATGTTCAGCTAGCATATGTTACCAAAGTGTACCAACTGTATCGTTGATTTCAATTAGACAATATGTCCTTTAGTGTGGAGGATTCGGCACAAGCCTCCAAGTGGGAATTTCTTAAGTCTGTCACAGTCAATTTTCATATCTTAAAAAAGTATAAAGTCTTTAGCAAAAAGAAGGATTTGACATGGAACATCGTGTTTGTGTGATGGTTTACAGCTTATGGGAACATTTCAGGTATTATGCATATTTATCATTTCTCTTCTCTCTGTTCGAATTCATTGTAAACTTCATACTTTTGGGTTTTTAAGCTGTTAGCCTGACAAAACAAGTAGATGCCACCTTGAGCTCAGAGGAGTGTTTTTCACTATTTTATGTCATATTTAATACTATAAATGATTAATGGGGAATGATTAATACATTGATAACTCACTTGATGTAAAAAGCTCTGGCCAGAATATGTAAACACACAGATATGGTTTATGCATTACTTACCGTTCAGTAGAAGCGCTCTCTGATTGGTTTGTTTGTGATTAAAAGGTGTTTGAGTTGTGAATGTCAGCCGTACGGTCGCGCACCAGGAGGGAAGACACGTCGACATTTCCAGCCGCTCCCTGCTCTTATCTCTCCTCTGAAGCTCCAGTGCCTCTCCCAGTAAAGACGCCGTGACATGCTGTGTCTGCAGGTGGACGGATGGGTGGAAATCACAAAGACAGCATGCAGGGATGAAATTGCTGCACTCAAAAATCGAAGTGCCACTTCACAGCATTTCAGCGCAAAAACATGTTTACGTTTAAGTTTGGGTGAATGACAGCTAGAGTCTTTCATTTAGCCTCTCAGGTACGTGACTATTAGGTGGCGAGTGGTCACAATGAGCTTCACACAGATGTGCGATCATATTATATGTTATATTTATCGTGACAGAATCTCATTTCAGTGTTTGCGGTGTGTTTTCAAGGTGATGTCAAGAAAATGTTGTGCATAACCTGGGGAGCAGTAAATGAATCGAGGATACTCCATACTTTCCATGATGATCTCGTCTCGTGTTCACTATTGTCACGTGTGTGATGTTTGTGTGTGATTACAGTGTACGTGTGTGTGTGTGTGTGTGTGTGTCTGTGTGTATATGTGGTACATTTACTCCATCTCATGAAGACCTTTCCCTACTGGAATCTCACCACCATCCACTGCAGATCAGTACATATAGTAGTACTGAGACAAATACTGTATATTAAGGGAAATGGCAACGTTACACCTATTTGTAATGAAACTGTTGATACTCACACACAGAGATAAAGAGCAGGGTCACGTAAGGTACATTTAGCTCTTTGGAGTTTTAGTTATGCAAAAAATGTGTTTGGGGAAGAGCTGCTCTGAATGCAGAAATAACGTCATTAGTCAAATTAAACAGTAATGTGTGGAAGCAAATAGCAAGAGCTTCTTTTTTTTTTTTTACTTCCACGCGGGGTTTTCAGGTCGTCCGTCTGTCTGTCCGCCCGTCCCATTCTCTGGAACGTGATGTCTCAGGAACGCCTGGAGGGAATTTCATTACATCTGGCACAAACATCCCCTCGGATTCAAGGAGGGACCGATTAGAATGCGTTGATCTAAAGTCACTGTGACCTCCCAAAACATGTTCTTGTGAATAACTCAATAATTAATTTGCTAATTATGATATTTTCACACAAACGTTTAATAGGATAAAATGATGAAGTGGTGACATTTTGGACAGACATGTATGATTGGCGGAAGCGTACAGCCGTCTAGTTAAACTTCAGATGGAAGACAATAAAGAAGCAAAGCTGGAACTGTGAATGAATGACAAAGATGTTATTTTATTAAATGAAACCAGGGCATCATCGTCAAAGCTCTGCAGGCTAGTGTAACTAGATAACTATTTTATGCTGGAAGGTCTGCCAGGCTAATCGTCTAGTATGACTACACTGCTTAGATTTAGCTTTGATTTAACAATCAGAACTCAAGGTCCTCTTACAAGCTTTTTTTCAAAGCTTTCAGACATATGATCTTCATCTAGTGTTGGTTACTTGCCTTATGGTGTTTACCAACTGCAGTTAATTGTCATTGTTTCCTACTTTTTCTATTTACCACTTCGTCGCCGTCAGCGCCGCAACCAGTAAACCGACGCTGCTGCGACAGCTGCAGAGCTCCATGGCCGAGTGCCCTGGTCAGCCTCCAGATTGCTGCTTGATGGCTGCCTGATAGGAAGTTGATTGACTGACTAGCTGGGCCTCCTGAGAGGCCTTTGAGTTTTAGACTCTGACTGGCAGGTCAATCAGCCTCCCGGGCCCTCCATTGTGGTTATCAATTATCCGCCTTATGTGAAGAGAAACAGTCCTCTCATTCCTACCCTGACACATCCTGACCTTTTACGAACTCCTCAGCCGCTGTCAGGCTCTGCAGACATAACCTTCTAATAACGCTGCCATATCCCACAAAAAAATGTCACTGAATCACTTTAAAACCCCAATTGTGGGAGACTGATTGCTCGTGATTTTAAAAGACAAGAACAATCTTATGTTCCTCAAGACTTTTAGAGATAATTCTAGACATTTCTTTAACATTATATGGTTTCTCTGTGAGGATGTTGGTGGGATGAAAGTGCAAATTGTGATAATTTGGATTAGGGGACAGTTTGACATGCCGTCCCTCACTGTTTTTATCCTTTCGTGTTCCACTTTCAGCTCATGGTGGGGATCATCCAGGCCGCAGAGCTGCCTGCTATGGACATGGGTGGCACATCCGACCCATACGTAAAGGTCTACCTGCTGCCTGACAAGAAGAAGAAGTTTGAGACCAAGGTCCACAGGAAGACCCTCAATCCTGTCTTCAATGAGCAGTTCACTTTCAAGGTACACCTCACAAGAGCTGGACTTCACTTGCTTCCGCAGGATGCTGAGAAACATTTGCTCCTTTTCAAGCCCATTTTATTTTTTTTGAAGCTGGAGATCTTTTTGTTCCGCTGGCGATCTGATTTGCATGCAGCCATGAATGCTGGAAAGGTGTGGAGACAGTAACCAGCTGGCACATTAACAAGCTCCTGACAGAATATCTCTCTCACACACACACACACACACACATACACAGAGGCTCAATGTGATTGGGATTAACACAGGCAGATGCACCGCTACACCGCGGCCTTGCCTCGGCCACAATAGATGCATGAATGCAGCTCAGCAGTGGGGAAAGCTTTGTTATTCACTGGACAGAGAAGAGCACAGGTGTTTGGTGTAAAGTCAAGGGTAATGTGATGTGATATCCATCTCAATACAAAGTTTATTTATGTGTTTTCTGTAATACTTAATTCCCAAACTGTGAGAAAGACAGGACAGGTAATTATAAGTGCTGTCAAGGACTTATCTTTCTCTCGCTCTCAAACAGGGCGTTTCCATTTATTAAGTTTCATCCCAAAAATGTAAGGCAATCAAGGATCACAAGTGCTCACCTGTCTTTTACCCTTCTCAGGTTGCAGGTCTGATAATACCACCTGTCAGGTGTAGTGATTGATTTGGAAATCGACATCCACCCACTCCAAACACACACACACACACACACACACACACACACACCTGACTCAGCTTGGCATTTAATTAACTGAAGAAACTTCACAAACTCTTCTGTGGAAGTTCAGGGCTGACGATATTAAATGAAATGTATGAAACTGAAGATTTTCGAGTATATATACCACAAAGCTTTTTAAACTCATTTTGATATAATACAGTCCTATAAAACAATACAGTAAACCAACACCTCTAACAAAGTCAACACAGACTCTCTTCGTCCTCCTCAGGTCCCCTACGTGGAGCTCGGGGGAAAGACACTGATAATGACGGTGTACGACTTTGACCGCTTCTCCAAACACGATGCCATCGGCGACATCAAGGTGACCATGAACAAGGTGGACTTCAGCCACGTAACGGAGGAGTGGCGGGATCTGCTGAGCGCTGAGAAGGAGGAGGTAAGACTTATGAAACCTCTGTAGGCGAACACACACATGCCAAACGTTCAATCACTCCCTCGAAAATGTGAAATGAGAAGGTTTGAAATCATTTTGTGACACCGGTCAGGGCTCCGATTTGCACACCCGTCAGCTGCTGTTTTTAATAATAAGAGTATTTCTTTTGTCGCCGCTTGCATAAGTGATATCAAAATGATTGTTTTTGCTGTGTTCACTCAGCAAGTTGTGCTCGAAACACAAATGCGATGCCGTGGCGGAAGTAATCCGTCTCTCCTGGAAACTTAATCAGATGTCCACACTTCCCCTTCAATTAATAGAGGTGTGACTTCCCAGGCACCAGTTCAGGAAATTCAATTTTCATGGTAAATGTCATGGCATACAGCACATGTTGCCTGGGGAACCTCGTTTTTAGCATTACGGTGGTTTGATTCAAAGGTTAATTATAGCGGCGTCGAATGGCTGGTGAAGTTGTTTGAGTTGAAGGGCATCACTATACTTATTAGCGTTTGGTCGCACAGCTGCACTTGATAATTTCACGTAAGGCTTGAGACACCGGAGCGACGCTTTGCCGTGTTCAAGCTCAGTGGAGAGCGGTAGTAGAGGCAGAGCATGGAAATCACTGCTCTACAACTTCATAATGCGTCATAATGCGGCTCTGAAAGGTAATTTGGAACAGTAACAATACATTGATCTATTTGTCAACAACCTTTTTAGATTATGTGTTAAGATGGAAATTAACCTGCCACAGTGAAATGGACGCTGTTGTCTTGGCAGCTCAGCCATTGTACCTTTTTACTGATTGCAATCAAAACTATGTAATTATTTCTGCAGAAGGTTTTAAGGTTAAAAGAAATACATGTATGTGTTCATTTACAAATAGTCGAAGCACATAACTCCCCCTGAAATATAGATCGATATAACTAATAAATAATATATACATTTAGATATTTTATGGCTTTAATGTGTGTCAAGAGAAAAGAGGTGACAAGAAATAAGGTGACACACAAATGGGGAAAAACAAACTGTTCCCTAAACTCCCAGATCACACAAAATTTCATTTCTTTCTGTTTTATCTATTTTTCGTGTGAAATACTGGATGCCTCTTCACGCCTCTTGAAATATTCAAATCAAACAGTTTGAGGAGGAAAAATCACTCAGTTTTTCCCAAACCCAGAGATATGTGCAACTTGTGGAGGTCAAGTTTGGTTGAAGAGATAACAAGCCCAAAAGGTTTTATATATATATATAAAAAGAAAATAAAGCTCTGTCAGGAGAAAGCATATCGGTCCAAACACACAGACGCTCTCTCAGGTTTAAATCTTTTAGCCGTGAGCTCAGGGAGGATTTAATACTCCACCTGCACACAGGTAACACAATCCTCTCTTCTTTTAAGGTCATCGATGAAGTAGCAAGTTCCGAGAGTTATTGACTGCGTCTGCACCGAGCGTTGATAAGAGAGATAAGGAGAGAATATGAATCGCTCTCTGTTCGGCGCGTGATAATGAGGCTTGTGTTTGTGATGGGGATTTGTCCGAACCAGTGAAGTGATTGCAGTCGGTGCTTCTCCAGCGGAGGGATGAGTCACGGACCAAAGAGGGAGCCGATATTAGAGAGCATTCAAACCCCAACAAGAGACCGAATCCATAGTAGATTGAAGACATGTAGGGACATATTGTGTAATTGATCGGCTATGACTCCGAGAGGCAGAGTGTGATATGAAGCATTGACTTTGTGCTACTGTGTCTTTTTACCTGCTTGTGATGCACATTGATGAATATCTTTATTTATTATTTCAACACTTTGATAATCTTTTAATAATCATTTTATTTATTTAACTAAATTCTGGAGGTTGTCATAAAATAAATGATTTGATTCATAAACCTTCTACAGTGAAGTTTCTCAGTTGAGAAAAAATGTCTTTAAAAGTGTGTTTGTTGTGATTTATTTTGTCTGTACTTGTTTTTAAATGTGTACAATATATAGTTATTTATATTAATACAATAAGACAGCAGACAGCTGGCTCACATGAGGACTAACCTTGTTAGCAGCTCGTCCTGCAGACTGTTTTTAAATATATTAAGAAATATTTGTCTCCAAAAAAAAAATACATTTAACCATTTATTATGAACTGCATGTTCTGGACCAAAGAATACCACTAAATCACATGCTCATTCCAACTGTCGTTTACTCAGACTGCGTACTGAAGTATTTTGTTTTACGGCTCTACATTACACTGAATTATTTATGCTGGTCTTTCTTCACTAGAAAGCATTAAATATATGCACTTAAAGCAATTACAAGAACATCTTTCTGTCGTTTATGTAAAATTCATGCATAAACGCACCCTTATTCAAAGTGGACTCTGTAATTACTGTATCAACTCAATAACCCAATGTCAGTGTACTCTACTTTAACCTTTACTGCCATCACTTCTCACATAGAGACGTCTGCACTTTAAATGTTCATTAAAAAATCATTAAAAGTTGTCTTCTCTGTTTGTGGAGAGCACCACCAAATAAACGACACGTCTAGCGGGTTAAAAAAAAGGAAAACTAGCGCTTCAGATTTGGTCGACTGAACATTTCCTAATGTGCTTTGGAGAGGAATTATGACCTATTTATTGTGAGCATCTGCTGTGAGCATGTGATGCAGTAATTGTGGATTTATTAGTTGCTGTTTAAAACTCACCTCTGCGATGTGTCTGTTTGTCCAACAGCAAGAGAAGCTGGGCGATATCTGCTTCTCTCTGCGATACGTTCCCACCGCTGGCAAGTTGACCGTGGTCATCCTCGAGGCCAAAAACCTGAAGAAAATGGACGTGGGAGGCTTGTCAGGTGAGCAACACTTACAATGGTGTGCTTGTTCCCTTTGACTTTCACTCTGACAGGCCCTTTGTCTGTAATTATACATGCACTGCAGCACACACTCTCCCTTCTTTTTTAACAACCACCCAAACACATCACTGGTCACGGGGACATTTGTCAAAGAACAACATGGCTTTGGCTGCAAGAAATAAAATAAAATCGTACAAATTGAGTACAGATGCAAAGGAAGACCTGAGATGAAAGTGTCTAAAAAAAAACATCTGTAGATCTATTCATTAAGTCTGATCTAAATTGTATTCTCTCCAGCGTTTATGAGTTAATAACAGGTGAATAAAATGTGTCGGGATGATTTCAACAGGTGTTTGTTGTTGTAGTACATATGTTGGCCACATGAGGCTGAAGTGCACCAGTGTTCTAAATAGGACTAAAAGCTTTCATGTGTTTCCCCACGTGAGTTTTAATTTACATTACATTAACACATAATATATGTAAATTGTGTTTACTATGCATCGATGGATTGAAACTCACCTTGAAGACAATATGAATGTTAGTAGTGGTTCAGCCTCTTGTGACTAAAATTAGAATTTCAACAACAAACGCTTGCTTTTCACCCAAAATATTTGGGGGGTGATGTTCAGAAGCCGCACAGTTCAGACTTAATGTTGTGTGAAACAACCACTAATGATGGTCACATGCAGGAAAGACTGAAACCTACTCCTGCTGTGAGGTAGCACCCGACAGTGAACCCATGTAGCATTAAGATCAATAATGACATTCATCACAATGCAGTCAAGTCTGAATGGTGGGTCTGATGTCATGGTAACAGAATGTGTCACTTGCGTGGGCAAGGAGAGGGGTGGAAGTCATCGCACATGCAAACACCCACAGGTTCATGACTGGAGCACACGAACAACACGGACTCAGTTTCCATAAATCAACGAGGGAGCAATGTTTCAGAAAGGGACAAAAAAAAAAGCATCACTATCCCAGGACGATCAAGAATGCACAGTTGGAGTCTTATTTTCTTATTTTGCATATTACAGATTTAAATCAAAACACTGAACACTGAGGTTTATTTTGAAAAGACACTATGCAGGTAACAAGCGTTAGCTATAGTGTCACAGTTTGAAGCATAGGGACTCTAACCAAGCTGCCCTATTTGACGAGTTGGGAGTAAGACCGTGTTAGATAGTTACATTTTTTCTCAATATTAGTGCTTCCGCCAGAGCCCCACATGCACTCACTCAAGCACACAAATCACACAATACGCCGGCCCGTCTCCCTCCCTGCTGCCTCTACTTTGACTTTCTGCGGTGGTTTCATTTTAAAGTCCCCGGTGTGCACTTCCCTCCCGCCTTCACTCTTTCTGCTGCAATTACCATACACCTGTGTCCACTCGCGTTCCGCCTGACAGCCCAGTCTCTCCACATAAGCCTAAACGTCCTGCAGTACAGTAACACGGCCCACGTTAAAAGCCCACAGTTCCCTTTCATCTACCAGAGCAGCACAAGCAGCCATTTGGCAGGAAAAAAAGCCCTCCCCCCGCTGCCATTTTATGCTGCTGGCATTAGCGCTCACCTGTGCACATTTGCATCGGGGGACTGTCAGCCACTTTGACCAGCCAGTATGAAAAATGTGTTAATGTGTTCACTTTGAAGGCCAGGTTTCTCTTTTACAGAGAAGGGAAATTGCAGTGAAGCCAGACAGTTTGACACCACATACTGTATGTCACATTTAATTGAAGCGTGTTTTATCTCGGTGCACCGGTCTGTGGGTTTCAGGGTGAATTATTAGCATACAGTAAGAGCTGCTAGTTTGTAATTACACACGACCACCAGAATATGCTCTAAATTGCAGTTTTGATTTTCGTTGGTTCGCGACTGCTTTTTCTGCTTAGAAAATGGAGCTAAAAGTGTAGCAGATGGATGAAATAATGGGCAAGTCCGTAATAACAATAATTAGCCTCCATCCACAGGGCGTCTCAGCCAGAGTTTAAGGAGGAGGACAAGTAATTGATGGCCTGGGATCAGCCTTCTCCTCTATTGTCATCCTGTTTACCATGCCTAATTGTGGCTCACAGAGGAAGACGTGGGTATTATCATTAACCAATGTATAATCAGAAATAATTCTTTTGATTGGCTCCTCATGAAACATCCCTCCAAATCTGCCTCCACGCTGTGTCTCTCACAAAAAAAAACGACTTAAATATTCTGTGTTTTTAAAAGTACTCTTGATTTCTTTGGTGCTCCCTGTGATTGTTGCTTAAGCGCGATGATGCGCCGTGCACCATACTCTTTAGCTGTCGTCTCAAAATAATCCCAGTCTCATTGCAGACGAGTTGATTTCCTCTTTCTGCCGCTCCCCTCTCTCTCCTGTAGCCGACACCACAGCAAGGCCACCTTACAATACAGACAAACAGATGTATTGTGTCATTTTCTAACTATTTTAGTTCTTGTCTGTTTGAAATGGTTCATTTACAGTTCTTCAAGCTACTGTAGCAAAGGTGAGTCAGACTCAAATATTGCGTCGGACACAAAGGCAAAGTGTCTGGAAGTGTCTCAGGATGAGGACATGAGGGTGTATAGTGGCAGCAACATAGTTTTGTCCCAGCGTCTATTTCTTTCACAGTTTTGCTTCAACCTACAAATTCAGAGATGTAGATAGTGAGGAGTAGATGAGTTATGGGACGACTTCTATGCTTTCAGATAATTAAGATTCTCGTTGTACAAATGTACATTGTTCATGTGGGTCTGAGCCTCAGAGAAGAGCTCCACTGTAAACGCTTGTGTCTGTGTGGTATGTGTGCCATTCGCCGCTGAGTTGAGTGTGTAAAACTAAACCGACAGTTACCCCTGGATTCACCCACCGTGGCGAATCCAAAATGATGGGAGGAAAGCTAAGATGACAGCCAGGCTATATTTAACCCCGCTTGTATTGGTGTTCATTTGGCACAACTCTGCCTGCGCCCACAGCGGCCACACTCGATGAGCACGGAAATATTTGAGGAAGAAACTACTTCTTTGTTTTGGTGTTGTACGTCTGTGCGCATGATATAGTGATGCCTCAACTGTGAGAGGCACCACCCTCACCGAAATAACCCACATGAGTCACAGCTGGCAGTTATTCACAGCTTGAAACACAAACTATAAGTAACCACTTTAGAACTAGACAGCTTCAGTAGCTCAGAGCTTTAGTGGCTCAGAGCTCATCACTTATCCAGAAACCTGCTTCTAGCCCCGAATGTATGGACCACTGATGGTGCATCGCCTCATAAAACCATGGCCGAGATCCAGGACTCAGATCAGTTACCTCAGGATTGGGTAGTGGAGTCTCTTTGCTGTACACATTATGTGAGGAAACGCTGTTGCATCAGGAGCGCTGCCATTCATCCATGAAATGGGACAGATTACATCCGTCAGGGATAAGGCGGTAAAAAGGGGGCCGGATATGAGGTACGGCGAGTCTCCCAAAACTCAATAATTCCACACTCTCATCTGCCGGCCACAAAGATAAGGGGCGTCTGGATGGCAGTGATGTGGCGCCACAGGTGTGTTTCCTTTTTTATTTTATCTTGCATAATCCCATTCGGCTGTTGTATTGTGTTTATTCTGGCACAGTTGTAGCAGTATTTGGCACATGGTATACAGTTTGCCGGTTCGCTAAATTATGACTCTAACTATGGTGAAGGCATGACCGGCCCTGCTTTGCCTCTGGTTGGCTAGCACGCTATGCCTTCGTTAGTTGGAGTCAGTCAGAGGCAGAGTTTTTGCATTTGTGTCCGTCTGAAATTTCGAGTGGTAAATTTCTCTCCGTTATCATTTAAAGTGCAAATGTGACCAATATTCCTATTCTAACGCATCAATCCTACGGATCCCTTTTATAGACCCTCGTTGCCCTTTACTATTTCTCAGCTTTTGTGCTTGACTTTCTTTAGACCTTTGTGAATTTGATGAGATGGAGGTCTGCCTACGCAAGATTAGTTTGAATTAGGCAGAAGTAGAACCAAGGAGTGCAGACAAAGAGAACCTTGCAGAAACCGCACTCATGCAGACAATCCAACAAGGGGATGAATGTGACAGTAATGGCAACTGATTTGAGCGAGTTCGGTGCAGAAGCACTACAGAATAACACTGAGAATGTAAGATGGTAACTTGAGTCTGCAAGTTTCACAAAGTTAAGGCTTTTTGGTTTACATTTTGAATCATAGATTTGACGGATACAATCAATGAATGACGAGCTCGTATGCTGTTTGAAACCTTTTATTACATTTTAGTACACCAGAAATGGTTGCCATACTTTTTAGAATTTATTAACCGAGCCCTGAGTGGTGCAGCCGAGCTTCTCCAACGTCAAGTGAACCATTACCTCCTCAACCCAGCGGCTATTTATAGGGCGGGAGTTAGACTTCCAATTATATCGAATGAGATGTCTCGCTAAAAGCAACAGCGTGGGCCTGGACTCGAGAGAGTTTCAGATCTCTGTTCAAAACCTGCTTGGCTTGGTTCAGGGTCTTTGGACGTATCGCACATAAACGAGAGAGTTTCAAAGACCGTAGCCCAAAATTGTCTCATTTTTGGACAGGCCTAAGATGAAGGAATAAGGGTGACTGGGTCTTGGCTGCACCGTTGAGAGGTTGGGTGAAATTCTGGATAGAGCAGGGCAAGCCTACACTCCTGGACAGATGCAGCCTTTGAATTATTTTGAATTATATCAAACTATACCTGACACATATGGAGGCTGTCTGGATGATTGCAATGGACGATTTCCAGATTTCATCAAAGAGTCTCTCACCAAAGTCTTCCCATTTTCATTTAAGCTGCTCCAAAGAAGGCGAGGCGGCCTTCAGTAAATCATCATAAATCTGAGATATAGAGCTTTGTTCAAATTGATAGGTAGCTGAGCGCAAACCAAGATACTATTGGATGCATTATGACAACACGCATGCAACCCTCATACACTGTTTTACTCCTCCCAGCTCTCCATCTCTTCTCAGCAGGAGAGTAATAATGGACGCCCACTCTATTAGAAGCCTGTTACCTTTTCACTCGTGTATCTGTCATCCATTTATTCTCCCTGCTTTTCTCCCTCTTACTCTGTTTGGTTGTGTCTATACATACATGTCAGCTGCACTGGACGAAGCAGTCTCCAGTCAGGTTCTTGTCCCGCTAAATTGGATAAAAGATTAAGGGAGCTAAGCTTGTTCAGTCTTTGCTGTTGCTAGAAATCTCACAATATTCCAGCTAAAATCATAGATTTATTCAACTGCAGCTCACACGTCACAAAAACATGAAGCGCTATAAAGTCTTTGTGCATATGGGATCCAGAGATAAACACAGATCAGCAGAGCAAGCGGTCTTTCAACAACTAATTATAAGCTCTGATTTCAAAGTCTCACTCTTTATTCATTCTGATGCGCAGCTCTGAGGTTCAGGGAGAATAATGTTAGCCTCGGGCGAGAGGCTACCTCATTAGCATCTCTGAGATTATTGTTGTTTGTTCTTTTCCTTCTCAAGCAGCGGGTTGTCTTATATGATGAATGACACAAAGTGGTTTTCATTCATTGCCCCCCTATAGCTTGTGCAGTCGTCGTGATTGTGGGCCGAGATCAGAGATCATTAAGCGTCATTACGCAGTCTTCGCATGTGGAACCAGAAATTTTCCACTATCTGGTCGACATTTTTCACCCTGCCGAGCACGGTCTGTGTTTTATGTCTTCATTTATTTTAGTTGTATTCATTGTTATGTGTTGTTTTTGTTGTTTTGGCGAATTCTCTGACATTTATGTTATATTATGTGTTGATAAGCTCAAGATGTAATAAGCACAAAGTGAAGAAAACCACTGATATGTGAGGGGCCAAGTGGGAGCCACCAAGAGGCTACTTGTGTCAATCTATTACATGCCCAAAACATTCTCCTCTTATATCCATAGTGGAACAATAATTATAAAAATTGCCACCGATACATACTTACTTCCTGCTAAAATTAGTGAAAATAACTTTATTTAATCACAGAAGTTAATATATTAATACTGTGCTGTGACGTTGACGTTTTTCTGTTCATTTCAATAGTGCACCCAAGAAACCAGGTTATTCAGATAAATCAGGTTAAGCAGTGTATTTACAAGCACCATTTACTCTAAATCTGCCTTTATATGCATCAGCAGTCTTTTTCATGCCTAAGTGCATGATTTTAAACCTGATTACTTGTGACCAAGAAATCATCCATCCTTCTCTTTTAATGCCTCAGTTACAGAAACCTGTTTTATTGTTTCCATGAAGAAATCAGATTACTGCATAAAGTCGACTGTAATCTCGTTTCATGTCGGGTACGGGAAGTAAAAGTCTGCATCCACGTGGAGTCAGGCTGACGGTAAACTGGATGAGAGGATGAATACCTGCAATGGTAACGGTAGACAGCATAGTTTAAATATTATAACATTTCGCCGTCCTCCATGACAGAATTTACAACCGGCTGTTATGCAGCTCACTCACACAGAATATTAAGAGAAACCTTCTCTGTAACGTGTAAATGATTGTAAAACTGTTCATTTCCCACTTTCTAAATTAATAAGGCCCAACGAACTGCAGCGATGGATTGTATTTAGGGAGAAGAAAATCTGAACGAATAAGAAGATTGCATATTCTTTGAACTGCAGCTATTATTGAATCCTCATTCTTCTTTTGGATCCTTTTTGTAAGCCTCAGAATATTACAGTGGAAGTTATTACATTCTTCGGCTGCCCATACTTTGGACTGATTAGGATCTCATGGTGCAAATTAAACAGCCTCACCTAGTCCCTTTTGATGGCCCAATTGAAGCCCAAAAAACATGGTATTTCTTTCATAATTTTGAAAAAGACGTTTGCTGCCGGCCCTCTTGTCCGTCTTCCCTCCGAGCCCAAACAAAGACACTAACTCTCCTCCTAACCAATTTATTTTTGATGGCAATTTGTAGAATGCAAACAAATGGAGAAGTATTGTCACGTCATAAACGAAAGCGATGGGCGATTCGCTTTTTTCCCGACTCGCCGTGATTGCCAGAGAGTGGATGAGGGTGGATGAAGCGGACCACTTGGTTGCCACTTAGATAGCATTCGGACTTATGAAAATGAGGCTCTTGAGTTGGGAAGGTTAATTGAGTGATGTAAACAAACAGGACTGTCTTTGCCATGCTTTATTTAGAACCATTTATACACAGTAGAGCATTTAGCAGCTAAAGAGCCAGAGATTTCCCTCAGGAGTTGGTGGAGACCAAAAACAGAGCTGAAAGGAGAGAGCGACTATTGGGCTTCCATGCATCACGTGGCCAGAAACATGACTTCAAATGGATGTTAATGGTGCTGTGTGTCTGTCACTGCAGATCCATATGCGAAGCTCCACCTGACGCAAAACGGCAAGAGGCTGAAGAAGAAGAAGACGACAATCAAGAAGAACACCCTCAACCCTTACTACAACGAGTCCTTTAGCTTTGAAGTCCCGTTTGAACAAATCCAGGTACGTCCTCTTCCATTGAGCACTTTATTAAACATCCATTCTCATAACTCTGAGATCTCTTAAAGGTAATGTGCTTTACTGTAGAGACAAGTAAGAACCAGCAAATAAGTGGAAGCTCATTTACCAAATAATCCGTTTAGAGGCTTTTCATCACAACAGAATAATCAAAGGCTCCTCGTTTCATATCAGCCTTGGTTTCGCAATTTGACGTCAATTGCTCGGTGGATGTTATTCTATGCACTTGTTATTGCCTGTAGCATTTACCTCAGTGCTATTTTTTGCACGTCATACAATCATTACTAACATAATGTATACAGCATTAACTGCAGACAAGGAAGCGGAGGAATGGATAATGAATGCACAAACTTTGCCAGAAAGGAAAAGCAACAAACTACATTATCTCCTCATGTAAGACAGTAATTGAGTCAAATTGATTGAGCCTGTCACAGCTCACAAATTACAGGTTTGGGTCCATGAGCCTCATTTTCAATTTAAACTGTGTCGATCCCAATAAACCTCGTCCAAATCAAGCCCTTATTTAGTAGTGCTGATACCAGTGTTACTGCTGACTTTACATTTATCATCTCATCATTGAGAGTCAGGTTAAATAATTAGGAGTGCCAGTGATTAAATCATAAACTTGTCATCCTGAGTTTAAAACATACTTGAATGACCTAATTGGACTGTGACCAATCAGTCAAACTCCCAACTCCTTAAAGAGGTTGTAGTAAATGTTGTAAACCTTTAATTACAGACTTGCTCCTACAACCTCTGTCTATGTTGTAGGGAAAATGAATACAGCTCAATTCGATTTTCCCCATTCTGTATAACAAATTACAGAGATTGTGTGTGAATTACAATCAGTGCCTTTAATTGGTCTATTGCACTAACAGACGGTGTATTATTGACTGAAGCAGTTCCACATCATCCTTAGTGAACACACACACAATTAGCTTTGCAGAACTCAGTGACAACATTTCGATTATTTTGTTTTCTCACTTTTTCCCCATGAAGACGAATTAAAACTGTGAAACTTTTGAGTTGTTAATACAAAAATCTGTCAATTTATATAGCAGATTGTATACCCAAAGCCTATTCACAGTGTTTAGATAATGTATAAAATACATTAAATGAAAAGTACAGTTCATAAGAAACAAAGTAGTATTAAGATTTAGTAAAAACTGGACAATAGATAAGAGGAAGTGCAGGATTTCAGCGTAATGTAGCTAATGGTGGCAATTTAAAGGAGCGGTTTAATTTAAGACGTTTTCAGGGGTGGTTATATGCAGGAGGTGTTTCTTGGTGAACAACATCATATTGCAGTGACTCCCTGCAGCTTGTTGTCACAGTTACTAGGTTACCAGGTTTTGTATTATCAAGTTTGTAATATCAAGACTGGCAACCCACGCTGTAGTCAGACACTAGTCAGATTAATAAACACTGGCAATAAGCTAATGTCCTAAAATATTGAGCTGTTAGTGAATTCAGTGATAATGTGATTGTTAATCAATCACAGCAAGAAGAATAGAATCAGCAGAGCAATACTTATTGGTCAGTGATGATGACGGAATAGTGTGCTAATCTAGAATAAAAGAAAGCCGTGATTCAATTAGCAAATTGTAGGTGAACTGTCCCTTTAAAGACCAACTAACGCCAACCAGCCATCTGGGAACCTTATTCAGTATTTCATTACATGGCGAATTAGACGCGCTCTTTTACAGCAGTGGCTCTGAGCTCATGCAGGTGGCAGTGTCCCCGTCTCAGTGTGCCAGTGGATCGAAACTTAATCAGAGCTCTTTGTGCACTAATTCATATTCTCTGCCAGAGATTGATGCCCAGGTCACTCCTCTTTGCAGTGTCGCTTTGAATGAACACATGCCGAGGCTGACTCTTAGGCCTCTGAGTAATCAAACATTCTGCTGTGTTTGGCTCTGGTCAGTTACTGTCAATCAACATTAATGTCTGAAGGAGCAGCTCGTTCTGTACTAACCAGCAGTGCTTCATATAGATAAATGCACATAAAGCATTAACAGCGCATATGCTGACGACACCTCGACTTACGTTCTCTGTTCCTCTCCTACTTTTCCCTTTCTACAGAAAGTGCAAGTTGTTATAACTGTTCTGGACTATGACAAGATCGGCAAGAACGATGCCATTGGCAAGGTCTTTGTGGGCCTCAACAGCTCGGGGACGGAGCTCCGCCACTGGTCCGACATGCTGGCCAACCCCAGGAGACCCATCGCCCAGTGGCACGTGCTGAAGCCCGAGGAAGAGGTGGACGCTCAGCTCTCCACCAAGAAATAGGCAGGGCCCTTTCAGCACCTGCCTTGTAGTACTCTTTAGCCAGTATGTGTAAATACCTCAGTGATATATGAGTCCATCCATGTTACCCCCCCCACCCCCTCTTTACCCTGCCTCTCAGTCTCATCCAGCTTCACCGCTCCTGATATCACAAACAGTCCTAATTGTTCAAACTTCCTGTGACCTCCCACCCTCTGCTTTTCTACTATCAGATTCCCTACTTTGTTTTGCTTTCTCTTTTGATTTTGTTCCTCTCTGATTCAGCAGTTTTTGTTCTTCATCTCTGTGCCCTTAACCGCCCCGACCAAATGCCCCCTTCTTTTAAGCAATATGATCTGTATAGATAGCGCATGACTGAAAGAATTTATTGTACCACAGTTGTATATATAAGTATGCAGACAAACATGATTTCTAGTTTATGTGTTTGTATGTTGTTACCCGTTTCCTAATCTGTGTATATCTTGATGTTTTTAATAAGATGTTCTATTTTAAATGATGTAAATGCAGATATAGAGGAAAGCCAATATTATATATCCCAGGATTTAAAGATTCTACCTTATTACCTTATTGCATTCCAGAAAAAAAGGAGAATTCCAACCTGCAAGACACTAGTGGAAATATATTCACGTTATAAAGGACAATGTCTGTTCAGCAAAGGATCATTGCAGAAAAGACAGATGAATATATACACTCAAAACTCCAAAATACAAGGCCATTAACTGCTATGGTTCTGAGGGGGAAATGATGCTGCTGGAAATTATACAAGCACATGATTTCTTACAACTTTTTGTACTTATTTCTCAATCAGAGGACCGATATGTTTAGCTTGAGGCACACTGTTACCAGAAACAATAGTTAATGCAAACCAGTTAGCATTTATTTGATCCATATTTGGCAGAATAAGTGAAATAGGTCCTCGTTTCAAAGGCCATCGTTCACTTAAACTGACTCCTTCTCTTTTTCAAAAGTGAAATAATATTGCCTCCAAACAAAGACTCATTTCTCAACCTTTAAAAAACCGACCCCATGTGAAAAAAGCACCAAGCTGTAGCCATTGTGTCCTTAACCTCGTTTAACAATATTTTGTTAACTGTTTACTTTGAACAGCCTTGTCAGAGGGTCCGATCTTTGAGAGGGAGTAAAGATAAGAAGAGAAAAAAAAGAGTTGTGACTCTGGTTTTAAGAGGACTATTTTTTAGAGCAATTCAACGTCTTGACTATTTTTCGTAAACTGCATGATTTTTTTTACAATCTTTACTAAAGGCTGGGACGAGGGGGAGATCTACTGACACCAGGGGCCGTCTCTTCTGATACAATCCCCTTGCCTTCAATCAGAGGAGAGCAAAGAAAAAACCAGAGTGACGTCTCAACGTTCAATGTATACGGTTATGTTGACGGAGGCGAAGCGAGTTCTAAACACTGCCATTTTCAGAGGAGACTTATGTAAAGATCCTCTCTTCATGAACACTCCCACTTGCTAGTGGTTGTAGCTTTGGTTTGTTGGGAACAATGTCTTTGGCTGCAATGGTGCCCTGAATCGCAGTCTTTGCTTTGCGTTGCCTTCTCACAGTGACAAATAGAGCTAGCCATGTTTTACTGCCAATTTTAACTTTTATGTGGCTGCTGTTTTGCACTGGATGTCTTTGAACTAGCTTGTTGACTTCTTTAAGAACAATTTTTTGGATAATTGCTGTGCTGGGCTTTAATTCAGGACACCTGCGGCGGGAGGCCAGAAATCCGCCTGCTCGATCGTCTTAACTAAAAAGAAATAATGAAGAAAGCAATGATGACAAATCACGTTTCAGCCGACAGCAGTTGCATCAGTTTTGTTTTCTTGTTGGCACAGGACTACACCACGAGCGAAATAACCGTAAAGTTAATGGTCTGCGTAGGCTCCATCGCGTCCTTTACTACGGGTCCGATTAGCAAAGGAATAAGTTTGAATCCATGAAAACCATGAAGTCTCTTATCTTGGAGGAACCTCTTGCATATACTCAATGCTATAGCTTCAGGAGGACTTTCTAAATGTTTTCAATGTTATTGTGTAGTTGATAGCACTAATATGAAAAAGCTACTTGTCATTCCATAGGAGTCTCTGAGGACTGCTTTGTGTATCACTGTGACTGCCGTGTGTGCTTAGAGATGTAGACTTATCAATAGGTAGCGAAACCAGTTTGTTCTGTAGTGATGTTGTAGCGTTTACTGCCATTTTCCCCTTCTACACGCAGATAAAGAGCGCGAGAGAGAGAGAGCGCGTGCGTGGCGTCGCCAGACTGCACGCGGCAAAAAAATAAAAGGCAGAAAGACATTTTATCTGAGCGTGAGTGGGTCGTTTCACACAGCATTTTGTTGAGCACTGTGCAATACTTGTATGTGCATCCCATAGTGTTAACGTGGGTGGTGTTGCCCGAGGAAAAAAAAAAGAAAAAAGATTCTAACCCTTGTGGATGATTCCAGTCCAGATGTTTCTCCTTTCCAGTGAAACGGTTAGGACACAGCACACGTAGATTCAGCTTACAGGTTGGAGCTTGACACCTTTCCACCTCTGTTTAGGGTTTCCTCCCTTCTCGCAGGTTCGTTATTTTTCTTCTTGCACACAGTTCCAGCATCAGAAGTTTCAGGGAGTATTAGTTAAATACCAAACAAGATTCTACATTTAAATATCCCCTTAAAATGCCGTGTATATATTTACATATTTGTGTCAAAAAAATGTATATCTAGAATAAATATAAAGTGACATGAATATGAATACTCAGCTGCAAATATCATTTTATCCATCTCTCGTCCATATACTATATCTCATCATCATTATTTCATTTTCATTAAGTACTTTTTTTTGTTTGTTAACTGCCCTATTGGTTCAAAAAAATCCCTTTTATATTTGAGATGAAAACTCTGAATGTACAGTATGGACTGTGTTGGTGTAGATTACTTTAACCGTGAGATTAGATGTACTTTGCACTTTTTGTTGTAAAAAAAAAAAATGTCCCTTTGTTTATTTTTTTCAACTAGGAATTTATTTCATAACCCTTTGGGTAAAATCTCCCCTGTCTGATTGCATTCCGAAATCATACGTTAATACAGCTGCACTTTTTTTATTTGACATGTTTTACATAATGTAGATTCATGAATTCCAGTACAGCTTCAGATTTAAATGAAAACAATGGATTAAAGTACAGGGTAAAGGCTTTATAAACTGGGCCTCAGCAATCTGATATTCATGCAAAAAAAGGTTGTACTTATGGAATTATCCGATCAAAGCTGAAAGAAAATCAGAGTTACAACAGAAATAAATATGTATAAACCTATCAGGGAATTCAGTAACGGGCAGCATTGCGCAACCCATCGGATTGCAATGTGTGCGGAAAAAACCCCACAAAGCCATTACCTGCAACGCAATGCTCCTCTTATTGTGATTCCCTACCAAAGTATGCATGCATAATCAACACCCAAAAATTCTCCTCTTGTAAGAAAAACAAAGCTCTCTGTGTGACAAGGAACTAAAGATTCCCTCCAGTGGCTGTGACAAAAAGCCACGCTGACCTTTTGACCTTTCAAAAACAAAGCTGTGTAAAGTATTAGAATCTGATGCTGTAGAAAGATCCTAGTTGCCTTTGTGTATATCAACTGCCTGCTTGAGTATTTTGTGTGTGGAAATTTTTCTCTGTAATCTCGTAGAACTGTTTGGGGTGTTTTTTCCTGCCATATCGCTCGCGGTGACGGCGAGCCGCTGACAGTTATCTTTGCTGTGCATACCTTCATTTTTGACGAGGTGTTTTACAGTTTTGTTTCACTTTTGTGTAGTGATTCACTCTGTGGAGTTTTCTGACTGTTGTTATATAACTTCATATACACAAATGATCAATAAAAATGTTTTATTTCCTGTTGATACAGAAGCTTATCATGTCGTATTTTCAGTTGCGTTCATTTAAGTAGCTGTGACATGCCTCTAACAGTACCTTTAACAACAAAATCAACCTGTATTACTTTCACTACAGTGCTAGTATTGATTGGCAGAAGAAGAATGAGTCACTGCTCCTGCACGTATACCTCCTGTCACATCGAGAAGAAGTGTCTGCGTGACAAATTCTACTTTGAATGATGACGTTTGCTTCTTAACACTTTGTGGTGGCTGTGAAACATCCATACCAGCCTTTTAACAAGGCCACTACTGCCATCTAGAGGACACAAAGGAGCACGCCACGGTGTACGAGCACAACCATGACACAAAGATTATGTTTTCCATTTTGCTTTATACACAGATCAATTTCTATTAGGGAATATTCGCTGATGTCTACCAGAGCCAGACAAAAGGGACAGGTTTGTCCTCCCACCAAACGGATGACGTCACATTGATTTGAGGCTCTGAGTGAATTCGATGATGAGAGCACCCTGGGGTTGTCGATTTATAGATTTTAGACTGCTGTCTTCAAATGAAAATCATTTTGGTGTTCAAGGCAAAACGACTCATCAGTAGATAATGTCATTAAACCCCTTAGAATCCAGTTTCCCTTCAATTACCCTTCATGCAGCTTAAAAATGTATTGTATAATAATATATTCATTATCAGCATCTTTGTTGAAGCAACATTATGTTTGGTTTTACTGAATGAAATATTCAAACCCAAGACTTCATGTTTTTATGGCTGCACCATTCCATCAAATGGAAATATAGGCTATATTGCATAATTTTAAACACATTTCTCCAAAATAGCCTGACAAATTTGGTTTGTCTGGAATTTGAATAAAATTCTGTGGGTTTGAACAAAATTTGGCTGCACAGAATGAGTTTATACCAACTGCCCTGTCAGTGGGAGAGAGAAGGCTTAAGTAATAGAGAGCAATCTATGCCTGGAATATGATGACAGTAAAGTTCTGTGGAAAATCATATATTTTGTTCAGTTTCTGACTTGAACTTTTTTTTTTTTAAAAAGGAACTGATTTTGTGTCTAAATGGTGTCACATCGGTGAAATCTAAAATGCCAAACTGTGGCATCAAATATCAAAACAACTGTTTCTGATTATTTTGCCAATGGAAGACCTTGTTTTAAAAATATCCTTTTAAAACGTAGATTCATGATAAACCTTTTTGACCTATGGGGAAAATGTCACAGTCACAAAAGAAAGAACCAGAAAAGATGCACAGAACAGGTAAGTAACCTGAAAAACAAGATGCAATTATGAATCATAAAATAAAAAATAATAAAAGCTATAGGTACTTTATGACAAACATAAATAGAAACTGCATTTTTGTCTGAGTGGAGCAGTAATTTACCCCTCGTAATTCTCCTCATGCACTTATTTTTATGCCAACTGTTAATTGTGGACTTTTATTCTAAGAAGTCCAAGCGTTTCCTTTATATTATTTTATTTATTTATTTATTAGTTTTATTCTGGAAATCCAGGCCTGCCATGCGGAAGTGACGTTGAGTTTTAGCTTCAACAAGTTAGCTAGCATTTGCAATTATCATACCGGAAGTTGTGTTTATCAATTGACAAAATGTCAAGTCCGTATTGTTTCAGGGTATATAAACAAATAAAAACTATATATTATGAGTCATAAAATGTATTAGTTGGTATAGGTGGCTTGCTGGGTGTAATTTAAAGAAATGTACGCATTTGTTTCAACGAATTAATGCTTTTATTTTCAAAAGCTGTGACCGGATGAGTATATATGATCTAACTAGCCTGAACTTGACAACCTTGCATGACACTGATAGTCGCAGTTAACTCATCTGCTGCTTTCTGCATTGTCAAACAACCTTACAGTCGCCAGAACTAACAGAAAATGCTGTCCTACATCATTGGTGTAAGTACAACTTAGTGAGAAGTTGCCAGGTTTTGTTTGTTTCAGCTAATACCATTGCGTTAGCTTAGGCTAACGATAGCTAACATGTAACGCTAAGTTAGTTTTCATAACCCAAGTTGGTGGGGCCCTGCCCACAGATATGTGTATGACTCATTTCTCCTGTTATGGATTAAACAAAAATGGCTTGACCCGAGTGAGACAACGCCCCACAGAGGTCTCAGACGTTTGATAGCTAATGCTAGCTGGTGGTCTGACTCATTCTCTCGTTTTCTGACCCTTTGTTGCAGTTGATCCGAGGTGGATTTGACAGCATCGTCAACTTGATCTTCAGACTTCTCTTCCGAAAGAGGAAACCAGCCCTCACCTTAGAGGACCCCGCCATTAAGTATGCACTGCGGCTCTTGGACAAACAGGTAACCACGTTGAAGATAACTTTATAAAACCTGCATTTTTATTTTATTTGCAAAAACTATGTTGGAGTGAATCAAGTCAGTGGCAGTAGGTTAAGTGGAAACTGCCCTAAACTGTGGCAGCAAGTCCAAAGAGTGCCGCTGCTGCTATTTGACTCTTCTCTCGCTAAATCGCCTGGTTGCAAACGCAGCAGGTGCGTTCAAGTACCACTGTTGCTCTCTGCGTTTATATTGGCATGCTTTTTTTTTTAACGGTAACCTCCTGTGTTTCTTTTTGTGCAGATTGTCAGCCATGACACAAGGAAGTTCCGCTTTGCCCTGCCTTCCCCTGAACACATCCTTGGTCTCCCTATCGGTTAGTCTGTTCCCTCATTCAATCAATGTCAATAATTAACACATGGAAACAAGCAGTAGTCACAGTCATTGTGAGAGGGACTGTATAAGAACACAAAGACAAAACATAGTGCCAAGGAATTAGATAATATCACTACACACATGAGTGTTCAGTAATGTAGTCGGATGATACTGAGAGCAGTGGAAATATATTCATATTACAATAAACATAAATTCTGTGTTTTCCTCTCCAGGGCAGCATATCTATTTATCTGCGAGAATAGACGGGAAGCTGGTCGTCCGTCCGTATACGCCGGTGTCCAGTGATGATGACAAAGGCTATGTAGACTTAGTGGTGAAGGTACAGCCAGATGAAAAGTTGCTTCTATTATCTAAAGGTGTTGTTTTATTTTCCTAAACCCCTTTCTTTTGTTGTCCCTTGTCAACAGATTTACTTTAAAGATGTCAACCCTAAATTCCCAGAGGGAGGGAAGATGAGTCAGTACTTGGAGAGCCTCAGGATCAACGACACTATTGATTTCAGAGGACCCAGTGGTCTCCTCGTTTACAAAGGCAAAGGTGAGCAACATACCCTCGTGTCCTCATACAGTTTGTAATTGAGCTTCAGCTGCTGGATCTGATCTTGTAACTTTTTCTCCACAGGTGCTTTTGCCATTCAAGCAGATAAAAAGTCCACAGCTGACACCAAGACAGCTAAACATGTTGGCATGATTGCTGGAGGGACAGGTAAGAGAAACTTCTAGACTCTTCTTCAAAAGTCTCATTTTAGTTAGTAGAAACCATAGTTTCTCTTCACCTTAATGTCCCTTATTCCATCTCAGTGACTACCTCTCCTGGGTCCTCCTAAAGGCTCCATTGCCATGTTAGGCGTTTAATTCTCTCCATCCAGGTCTTAGCTGTTATAACAACCAACCCTTTAAATCCTCACGCTGCCATGCCCTGACTAGCCTCCTCCGCTGTATTATAGATGCATGTTTGTCCCTCGTAGAACACCTGAGGCCTCGCTGGAAATGGCGTCTGAATAAGGATTTTGTTTTTAATAACGATTGTATTCATTATCAATCAAACATCCACCCACTTTCTGCAGTCTCATGACCCTGTATTCTTCTTTTTTTTGAAAGGCTTATCTCCTCCTCACTGGTTTGAAGCGATAGTGGTTCAGCTAGGTTGTTTACTCAGTCATATCTGATCAAACAACACCCACACAGTCCTTATGAAGCGGGCTGCACATGTAGGTATTTTAGTCACAAATATGTGTTATGGAGAAATACTTTTTCGCTGTAAGACATTTGTTCTTTAGAACCAAGGGACACGCAGATGACCACATACTGTTTGTGTATTGAAGGTAGATCCATGTCTGAAGCCTCTTTCCTGTTTTCTTCCAGGTATCACGCCCATGTTGCAGCTCATCACAGCTGTGATGAAGGATCCACAGGACCAGACGGTGTGTTACCTGCTGTTTGCAAACCAGGTCAGTTTCATCAGCCAGGATCACACGATGAAGTGTTATGAAAGAGTTGTTTGTTTTCCTGTGTGATTGGGGAAAGAGTGGTTCATACTTAAACAGAGGTGGAACACAGAGTGCTGAAACTTGGTTCGTCCTGTCCTATCACAGACTGAGAAAGACATCTTGTTGCGACCGGAATTGGAAGAGATCCAGGTCAACAACCCGGACCGGTTCAAGCTGTGGTTCACCCTGGACAGAGCACCTGAAGGTGAGGTTACTCTAAATCTGAGAACATTTATTTTTGTCCCAAAACAAAAGTTCATCTCAAAACAGTGCTGCTCTCGGCCATTTAGGACACGGTGCCATGGGCGTAATGCCTGCGATTTGTTGAAAAATCACATTAGACACAACTTTATCTTGTGTACAATAGATTTTTGAAATTGGAAAGTGTGAGAAATAAAAAGCAGGTAGCCAACCAATTTTGTTTATGTAACTTGCAGCATTTCATATTTTTTTTTTTTTTTTTTTGTCTAAATTGAGCTTGTTCCCATTAACGTCACTGAGGATTGAGAAATAACAAAAAAAAAATTAGCAACATTTGTTTATTTAAACTTTACTCTGCTTTTATGCCATCATTTGCCACAATGCCTTTATTGTACACAATGGCTGGAGCAGATCCTGAAATTAAGTCATAGTGTAGCGTGTCATAAAAAAGTCATAGTATATCGGTTGTTATACAAGAACAAAAACGGACACAACAGACTGCTGCTATCAGTAACACCTTTATTCTTCACTGAACAAACAAATAGTTTGTTGACCATGTGCTTCTTATTGCCTGGCTTCTCAACTCGCAGTTCAGAAATTCAGTGTCTTTGGTCCTTCTTCCTTGCGTGTGTGTTTCAATGGAAAGAACGATTAGACATTGGGCGCAGTATAGCGTGTCGGAAAAAGCAAATAGTTACATTAAGTCGTCTTTAAACGTTGGTTGCTTTTCTGTCTTCCAGACTGGGAGTACAGCCAAGGCTTCATCAGTGAAGACATGGTGAGGGAACACCTGCCTCCTCCCAGTGAGGACAGTCTCGTCCTGATGTGTGGACCTCCGCCTATGATCGAGTTCGCCTGCAACCCCAATCTGGACAAAATCGGCCACTCCAGCAGCCGCAGGTTCAACTTCTAGATGTCCGGGCGTATGAAGACGTTCAGTTATACTCTCAAAGCATTAAAGCACTCGTACACTGGGTATACAATATTTATGCGACGATATATTCATCATGCAACAGCGTCACAGCACGGACCAATTAATGTAATCAGTAAGTGTCACTGAAGGGGAGGGGAAGGTATTTGGCATTAAAGATGTGGATGTTTGCAACATTAGGAGTTGAGGTTTATTGGCCGCTTTCTGAGTGCCTTAACACTTGCGAAGCTTTTTTTAATGCAGTCTAAGAATCGCAACCACCTGCTTCATTTATACAGAATTGTATTTAATCCATTATTGCTGTTTTGAATGTGTTGGTTAACCTGCCTTCTGTCTATCGTCATGTCAAAGATGTCTATTTTGCTAAAACATGTTCGTAGTGATGTGGTTACTGACATGAAGTCTTTGCTGCTACTTGTGTTTGGATATGCAATATTAAAAATAATTGCTATAACTCCCCCTCATTTACAAGTGTTTGATCATAACTGTGTTGTAACATCTCTGAGCTGTAAAAATGAAGACAAATGCGTTCTCTTTTTTTTATTAACATTTAAAAAACAAGACTTTGGTTTTCAGGTTTACTTTCACAATAGGAAGTGTTTGACATTTGGCTTCCATGCCAAGAGTTAGGGGAGTAGATCAATACTGCTCGTTAAGTAAAGAGCTAAAGCCTATTAGCTTAGCATGAAGAGAGGAAGCAACGGGAGACGTTTAAAACTGCACCTACAATGCTCACGAACACTTATTTGTGCTTTTAGGGAGAGTCATGTGGTGTTTGGATTATAGAACAAAGAAGTTAGTGAGCTTGAGGGAGGGCCAGGCCTCCAGTCTTTATGCTAAGCTAATCGCTCAACCAAGGGTTGTAGCTTCACCTAATCCTCAAACGTTAGCATATTACTCAAAATGTCAAACCATTATTTTATAAGCAAAACATTTTCTCACAGCATTGAATCTCAAAACCCAAACTACGTGGCTAGATACCACTAGAAGTAAAGTGAGGATGTTCGCTGTAATCCTAAAGATAACTTTACGTACCACATGAAAACAAAACGGAATACAAATGTTTCAATAATAAGGTACATTGATGCAATCAAACCTTGCATTTTTAGTTCATGCGTTATATTTTGGACAGCCTTAATAAATATAAATATATGGTCATGAAAGCTTTGGCTGTACTTCTGAATGAGGAAAATACTGTAACAGTGGAGGTCTCATGTTCTACAAAGGTTGCTGGAAGGTGGAGGGGGTTGGCACAGTTTGTTTTTCACAAAGCAAATCTCAAACACTAGAGTTGTGATCGGTTTCTGCTGCGTCGCCCTCATGAAAAAACTCATCTTCCTTCAGCATGCTCTGAAACACAAAGGGACAATGACTCAGGTTTGTACTCTTGTTGGTCATTGTTCTACCCCATTAATGTTAAAAACAGTTTATTGTCATGTACGGTCAGTATCTCACTGTGAGATTGTTGATTTCCTCAGAAAATTCTCCTATCTGTCTCACGGTCCCTTCAGAGTCTTCCATCTGCCAAACACATACACAAACAGAGGGTTGAGACACATTCTAAATACTCCGATTCATGATATGTTGTCAGGGAATATCTCCGTACCTGTTCCGGGTGTTCCTCATAGATCTGGACGCCCGTCTGGAAGCTGCTGCTTTTGGGCATTTCCACGTTCATGGGGCAGACGTACTCGTCGCTATCGTCCTGACGTTTCTTCCTCAAAGTGCCAAAACCACCGAATGAGAGGCGTCGAGGCTGCAGGAGGAAAAAGGAAACGATCAGCAGCGGAACATCACGGGTTCATATTCAAGTAGAGCTGAAACAATTCATTGATGGTTTATTATTTGTTTGTGTCGAGTGGACGGGCAGATACCTTGATCTTGGCGGTGGCGCTGAGGACGACGTAGTCGGGGTTCTCCAGACAGTCCTGTTTGAGCCGCTGCGCCTCGGAGCCGACGAGCAGGTGGAAATGTGTTGCCAGGTGGCGTCTCAGCAGGGTTTTGTTGGGAGGAATGTTGAGCAGGAGGGCGAGTGCTTCCACGTTGAAGCGGGGCTCCAACACCTTTTGGAGCGTGAAGACATTTGAGATAACATCATGGTGAGAGGTCACAGAAGAGAAGTCTGATGCGGGGCGGCATCAATAATAAATACCATTTCAAACATTTGTTTTCATCTCCTCCTGATCCCCTCACCATCAGTCCTCCATGAACACCGCTGCCCCTCAGATTGGGAGCGTATTCTGCCAAATCCACGGAGCGCAGCCACTCCATCACTCGGTGGTTGGTCCACTGAGAGATCTCTGCTGGTGTCATGTTGTTCTGGACAACAAAGAGAATTTTAAATACAAAACCCAAAGCAGCTTTCAAAGAAAAAGGGAGAAAAGAGTTGCGACTTCCTGTGCGATACCTCGTCAGAGGGCCGTCGCCTGAGACAGTTGGGTTCGTAGCAGTTGAGGCGGAGGACCTGGATCGCCCTCTTGATGCTAAGGTGATGGAGAACACTGCCCACCTTCAGAGACAGCAAGTCCTCCTGGGAAACAGCCACGGGATCAAACAACGGGAAAGTTCAGCCAGAATATTAAAGAATTATTAGGAAACCAAAAAAAGTAAAAAGCTTCCACAGCGGTTCTAATGCAACATGAAGGTTTTCAACGCACCACCGTCATGTAGTGCAGCATGCATCCATCAAAACGAGCCTCGTCAAAGTGGCTTTTGTACTGCGGGAGGCCGATGTCATCCAGCCACCCTGAAAACACACATTTATTCATGAATTAAAAAAGCCGAGGGGGGAAAATCTGTCGTTTTTATGAAGCAAGACGACGTCGCACTCACTGGTCACCCAGTTGTGGTCCAGTCTGCCCTTGAGGTCGTCGTCCTCTGACCCGAGAGCCTGCAGAGCCAGCTGCAGCTTCTTCCTGTGGAGAGGGTGCTTCATGCACAACTCCTGAGCAGGGAAACGGAGGGAAAACACAACATCATGTGCAGGAAACCTTTACAGCCTGCAGCAAGTGATCTAGTGTAGGGCTGCAACTAAAGATTATTTTCACTGTGGATTATGTTCTTGATTAATCGATTAGTTGTTTGGTCTTTAAAATGTCAGAAAATGGTGAAAAATGTCGATCAGCGTTTCTCAAATTCCTTTTTTGTCCACAACTCAAAGACATTCAGTTTACTGTCACAGAACAATATACAGATTCAAGAAGCTGGAAACAGAGAAATTTGCCTTTTTCTCTTAAAAACGTACAGAAATCGATCAATAAAACAGTTGCCAATGAATGCTTGCAGCTCTAATAGTGTTGTCAGAGTATGTTAACAGAGTTTTGGGCGTCTGAACTTGGGCTTTGGAAGCTAAAAATAATGGTAAAAAACTACAGTTTGTGTCTTCAATAAACTTCTTGACACTGATAACGTTTGAAGTGCAACAATAATTTGCACCCTGAAACACAACTTTCCTACCTTCTCCAGATCGTGTTGTGACGCCCTCAGCAGCGTTTGTCCCGATTTGATCCAGCTCTGACCCTGGGCGACGTATAACCCGAGGCCCTGCTCATGCAGCCACGCACACACTTCATCTTTACTCCACCGCGAGAAAGGAACTTCAACAACGCTGACGGGGACAGAGAGGGAGTATTGACCGCCACGAATCAAACTGGTGCAGCCGTGACGTACAGAGACAACCGTCGCTAGTTAAGAACTGCATCGACGCCTACTTGTGTTTAGATTCACGCGACCAGCCCAGTCGAGGGCCGGCTGTGGCTCTGACTCCTCCCCTCCGGAACTCCATCTCTGCTTCATCGTCAAGGTTGAAGGAGCTGGAGTGACTCCTCTTTAGTCTGCAGCAGGATCACATCATAAATGAGCAAATAGATCATCGTCTTATGTTACCTTTAAGTACAGCTGGCACACCCTGAATGTTACCTGCCAAAGAACTTCATGAAGCCTTTGGACTTCTTTTTGGCTTCAGGTGAGGACGGCAGCAGGGCTCCATCGGGGGATTTCTGTGGAGGAGCGCCGGCCAAGTCCAGGTGCTCTGTGCCTCTACGTTCCGCCTCAGCTGTAAAAGTTATGACATACACGTTAACATGACGTACCGCGACACAGCCGGATCAGATCAGGGTTTACAGCTACAGACACTCAACTACGACCCAATGTTAACAAACTAAAGAACAAAGAAGTTAACACAAGTATTACAACCGCTACCACCCATGCAAAAGAGTAGTAAACTACTACGACACAACTCACAGTTTCTCATTTACAGTGAATGAGAAATGCTTCACTACTTGACTGGAAAGTACCAACAGAAGGTCTTCATTGCAGATGGTTTAAAGTCATGGATAAGGGACAACTGGATGTTTAGTAAAGGAAATGATTTAGAGCACCTTTCTTGTTTAATAGTGTATAGTTTTAACTCTTCAAGCCATTCGATATGCGTCAAAGGAAACAGAGAATCATTATTTGTTGTGGCTGTGACAAGGTGCTCCATCAGTATGACAGCATGTGATCATCAGACTTCAGAAAGTTAAAATGGTCACATGGCTGAGTCACAGTCTTTATTCACATCCAGCTGTGTAATCCAGAGCTGCCATACTGCAGGCCGACAAGGCCACTCTGCTCTACCGTACCTAACGCAGGTGCACTGGCACTCCGGGAGCGATCTTCACAATTTACAAGAGCCGAGAAAGAAACACGAGGATCAGTAACGAAACATAAACACATCTCAACATGTAGAAAAAAAAATGTGATCATTTTCAAGGAGCTGAGAATCACCCAGGTTCGGAGAGCTGGTTGTCTGCTTGCCTGCACGCAGCTTGAAGAAGCCGCGGCCGAAAGAAGAACGGGCCTTCTTGGTACCAAAGCTCCCATCACTAGTTCTGAGAGGAGATGAGGAACTAGGTCCTGCTTTATGTTTGGTCTGTGAAAAAAAAGAAAATACAGGAGTTTAGAGAAGCCAGGACATTTAAAGATGAACCATTTCACCTTTAAATTCAAGAAGTACAAGAGAGAGAAAAGTGTAGTTGCACCATTTAACCACTAGGTGTCAGAGCAGGACAATCTCATACAGTGTGTCCTGTGTATATGAATATATTAATACACAGTCATTCACTCAAAACCAAGAGAACCTACTCACATGGACAGATTCACAACCAACACTTTGAGTGTTTAAGTTATTGTGAATAACATGATTATGTGAGGCTCGTGTTACCTCGTCCTGCTCTTACCTGCTCGGTGCTGCTCGGCTGTGCGACGTCTGAGGAACTGAAATAACAACAAGTATTCAAGCGTTTAAAGCTTAAAGAGTCCTGAAATATCCTCACCATCAAGTACTGTAGAAATACTGTTACTTTGCAGACATATCGCATAATAAAAAGTCAGATCACTGGTGTAAAAATCGACAAAAAGAAAAGAGTTTGTATAGAAACGTAGTGATTTCCCGAAAAAGTTACATGAAAAAAGAACAAATAACACTTTGTTGTGTCAAAATAAAGATGAAGAGATTAAAATTGAATGACAGCTTGCTGGCCATAAGCTGCAACTACTTCCAAACTTTACAGTACATTTTAGATGTACCGCACGCACGCACACACACACACACACACACACACACACACACACACACACACACCACAAGCTGCTCTTATCAGGACCGTGTGGGCGTGCACAGACTTTGCTTTCATTAACATCTTCTGGACTCTCCTCATATTGTACTATAATATGTAATGTGTATTATTGCTGCACTGAGTCTACGCCCACCTTCTACCTGCACAGAGGTCTGATCAGCCAGGATGTAGATATGATTTATATTTAGAGAACTGTTACTTTCACTGAACTTTAAACATCTAGCTGCTTTTTTCACCCAAACATCCAACTGTCCAAGACACGTTGGAGTCTTTCAGAAATGTCTGTGAACAAACTGTCCAAAGCATCTGCTAGAACTCATTCATATTTTGTTCATATATTCAGAGCATTTAATTTCACTCGGGAGAAGAGAGAAAGAGGGTTTAATCATATGCAGGAACTGAGTTTTACCTTTCGACTGCCTGTAACAGTTGTTCTCTGTCCAGGTCGTTCATCTCAGAGAGCACTGCTATACATGGAATAGACTGACAAAACATGATTAATTGAACATATTTTCCCCAACAGCAGAACAAATAATAACCCAAACAGAAGTGGGAGAGAGGGAGCTTTTCTAAAAGGAAGTCAGTCTGGGTTTCATCCTGTGTGCAAATTGTTTAGACAGAGGTTGCGTTTACCTCGCCAGAGCTTCTTCCTGCCTCCCCTTCCAACGCCGGTGTGACCTGATCCACCTCCATGAAGACGGAAACCGAGGGATCGTCTGGGATATCGTCATAGTCATCGTCTGAGGGAGGACAGTTAGGACGGTCATCAGGCTGCCATAAAGCATCGCGATATGAACTAACTGTATATTTAACGTACAGGAACGGAGGCTCTTCTTCTTTTCCTGAATAATGTCATTAATGTTTGAGATAAATGTATCCGTTTACTGTCCTTTATAAAGAATATAAAACATTGTATGTCAAATATTCTCATTGTTTCAGCTTATAAACTGATGTAGTGAAGTCAGTCTCTAGACTTTGTTATTTATGTTTACAATGATATTATTATTAATAAAATGATGCTCTACATAATTTCACACACTGCCTTCTGCATTCATTGCTCTTTGTCAAATCTTGAGGAAGTGACAGCTGCAGACTCTTTGATGAGAATTAAACAGACTGACCTTTTACCGGCTCCGGCACATCCTTGCACTTAGTGAGCGACTCCTCCAGCTCCTTTATCCTTTCCTCCTGCAGATAAACACGCACAATGTTCCAGTTACCACCGCTTTAAACAAATCAAAGCTGCTGCTGCTGATGATTACAGCATCACATCACACTGTACCTTCACGTCGTTGGCCGACGCCAGGGACTCCAACACCATCTTCATGTTCAACACTTCTGTATCTGGAGGAACAAACAAACAAACACACACACACACACACACACTTTAAACTCCCCCCTGGCTCTGAACCCGCTGGGGCTCAGTGTGCTGGTCAGCGCAGATCTGGTTTCAGCTAGAACCACAACTTATCAAAAACAGAGACTTTCTGTGTGTTTCACCTGAAACGCTGCACAATTAAACACGTGCTAACCACTTGGTAATCTAATCCGAACCATGTTTATCTACCGGGAGAACCTCAAGTGAACCGTGAAGCGTGTGTGCCACAGTAGAGCTCGTCCTTACATTGAGGGAGATGAGTAGAGTTTGACACCTTTTCATCCGTCAGAATCCCATTTTTTATCTTCTAATCAAATCTTAATCTTGTCAAATTAATTCTAACAACTTTAAAGCTTCAATAATCAATAACTTTACATTAACAATGGATCACAGTGTCAGTCACTCATTTCTGAGTCCAAGTCATTTCAAAATCAGAATTTGTTTTGTTGCAGTCAGTTTGTTATTTTCTCAGACATGTGACCCGGTCAGGGGGCGGAGCTTTACAGATTTGATCTGGTCAGTGAACAAACAACCAGTGTCTGTACAGTGAGCTGGAAGGCACAACACAAGCCTATCAGATTACACTGTAGAACACGTGTTTACAGCAGACTCCCCTTCATTTAGATCATGGCGTTCCTCTCCCATCAGAGAGGATTAGATAGGGCCGGCGGTGGGAGGAAGGAGGAAAACAGAGATGTTTGGTATGGAGCCGACAGACAGACAGATAAGTAAAAACAAAGGGCCTCACATCGCCTCATTATAGTTCAGACTGTCTGTGAAATAATAATGAATGGGGCGATCCGGATGAAAGCAAAGTAGCCATTATGTTTCCAGCAAGGATGCTGGAGGGTGATCTGGTGTTGTTGGAATGTGAAATGTCTGTTTGTCTAATCCCTGTAAACCCGTTTGTAACATTAGACTCCATGGAACAGCACAAGAAGCTCCCGGACATTTCCTCAAACAGCTCCCCACCTCTCTCTCCTCCCTCGGCTCCGTTGTGGCTCTCCACCCTCAGTCTGCTCTCGTCCTTCAGCCTCCTCAGCTCCTCCTCTCGCTCCTCCAGCTGCCTCTGCAGAAGCTGCAGCTCCTCCTACAAATCAGAGGAGACGCAAAGTCAGCATTCTGGGATTATCATCACTTTGTGTGTGTGTGGATGACACTTGGGGAGACGGATGCAATAAAAAAAAAATAACTTTTTAGTGTCCACTTGTGGTTTTAGAATAACAAGATGAACAGGAAAAAGGGAAGGACATGACAAACACTTATAATACAACACATCATCATCACTAATGCATGACATAACAGACAAATGCAGCAAACCCTGAGATCTGAGAAGGTAGAAGATGAGAATGTTTGGCTGTTTTGTTTAATAAATTACTCAATGACAACAAAGGACAGCCTCACAGAGCCTCTAGCTTCGCTGTAGACTCATAGTCTTGATATATTATATATGTTTAGTAGTAAACTGGATTTGATGTGTAAAATGAGTGCCCCCTTGCACACAAGATTAGTAAGATGTGTTAGTTTCTGTGCTCTATTCAACACACTGTGATTGGCTGTGAAGGGATTCAGTGGAAGCTCACACTATTCACTAAACTGTGGACATGCATATAAAACAACCACAAAGAGTCTCATCAACAGCAGATTCAGATAACAACCCGATTGAAAATTGACTGAAATTAAGAAGACGCACCGATTGATACGATGTGTAGCTTGGAAAAATGGTACTTTTAGTCACCTGAGTAAACAGTATGATTCTGTAGATATGTTGTTTCAGTCTCCAGGTGTTGATACAAATAAAGAGCTTTAGAACCAGGTAGGAATCCTGAAACCGGTCCGGGTGAAAGCACTTACAGCGACAGTGGAGAAAGTCAGGAAAGCAGTGTGCAGCAGTGGAGAAGCAGCAGGTTTAGAGGATCTTAAGGGCCAGAAAGGAAGAAGAGGACAGGGCTGGAGATTACACCTCGGTCACCTCGTCGCCAGTGAACCGCTCACTGTTCCGCTTCGGACGCTTGACAGGTTAGCATGTTGCAGAAAGACGTTAAAACCACAGCAGAAAAAGGGGAGTAAAGAAAGGGAGCAGAGAATAGATGTCAGAGGGGAAATCACAGCGTTTTAAACACGTAATGAAGCGTCTCAAAGGATAATTCAGATCTGCTGTCACGGCCAAGTGTAAAAGAATAAAAGCGTCTGCTATCTGGAGCTTCAGCACACTCACTTTGGTAGCTTTGAGTTTCTTCTCACACTGCAGTCTTTCATTCTCTATGTCAGTCACCCTGAACCGCAGATCCGTCACTTCCTGGTACAAGCCCTGGGGACGAGAAAGAGAACTCCCATGACCCATTAAGCTCAGAGAGAAACCTGCAGCGGGCAGCTTCATGGAGGCTGTGTGGGAGAGAGGTCAGAGGGAGAGAATTCCTGCCAAGAGCACCAAACATTATTTTCAGGCTGACGTCCCATCGGAGAGAATTTGAGAAGCTAAATCCACAAATGAAGACGGATCCCGGACTGAAGGTGAAAACGTCACGGTCAACTATTGTCAAACTGTTTTCATCTCAATCAATCAGCAGCACTGTAGGAGGCGGGAGCTTCGGAGTCATAACTATGAATCCCTTTGTCTTTCCTGAATGGAAAGCGCGTCAGTTGATCCTGATTAGCATATGTAAATACCAAAGCCAATCCTCAGCGCACGGGACTGCAGAGCCGTGAACACACACAACAGACAAGTTGTAAGAAAGCGAAGTACTTTCTGTTATTTGATTTATTGCTGAAAAGCGAAATCTATTACTTGAAACGAGAGAAGAACATTGATTCATTATTAGATTATGCCTCGCTGAACTTTAATTGAATACTACTTAGTCTTAGGCTTAGTGCAACACAACACTCAGTCCTCTTTGAAGAAAGCAAAGGAACTGTGACTGTAAACACGACTGTTCATTGGAAAGAGTTGTGACAGTAGATGAGTTGTGACTGAGAAGGGTTAATAAGGTGCTGCAGGTTAAACAAATACAGAAATCAGAACACGTCAGCGTTGCCTGGATGGGACTGACCGGTTGTGTTCTTTAGGGCTCGATTTAAAGGGCGATTGTGGCTAAGTTAGCAGGGCCGTCTTTCAATCAGAGGGTCGGCGGTTCGAACCCCGGCTCCGCTAGTCTTATGTCGATGTGTCCTTGAGCAAGACACTTAACCCCAAAATTGCTCCCGTAGCTGTGCCTACGGTGTAGAAATGTGATAGACTCTGAATTGTAAGTCGCTTTGGATAAAAGCGTCTGCTAAATGACTGTAATGTAATGTAATGTAAAGGTTAATGGGGAAAATGGAAACAAGAATAAATACACACAGTTGCATTCAATTCGGACTTCAACTCCCTTCAGACGTCTACTGTCTGGAAACATAATATTCCACAAATATATGTCCCGGCTAGTGTATGGAAACTATAACTCCCACAACCTTTTAGCCCCTTAGAGGGGGGAGAGAGGGGAGAGGAGGAGGTATGGGCGGGGGTGGGCTCTGGCAGGAAACAGCTGCCGGAGCACAAGGGGTGTTTAAGCCTCTTCTGTAACCCTTAAAGGAGTTCACCCTGAACCACATGACACATCTGAGTCCTCCAGTGGAGTGAGACCAACCTCTGTGACTTTAAAACAATGACCGGGTGGCTTCCAGGATCCAGAGTCACGCATCACATGAAAGCGAGCTGCAGGCGCAGCAGAGAACTTCAGCTATACCTCTGCTGCGCTTCACACGGCGGTACATTGTAAGGACGCGTTGGTACCTCATTGTCCCTGTGATCTCTCTCCACAGCCGTCAGCATCAGCTTCAGACTGGACACCTCGGTCATCAGCTCCAGCTTCTGGGTCTCCAGCGTTGTCCGCTTCAACAGCTCCTGTGGAGCAAGGTGCACACTGGGTAAAGCGGCATTCAAATATATTTCCTGGAGAGGTAGACATTTTGAAATGGACCGGGATTGGACTGTGTTACCTGCAGAACCGAGGCATGGTGACTGTATAGAGGCCTTACCTGCTGCAGTAGATCCTCAGTAGCATTTAGTTTCTGTCGATGATGATCCAGGCACGTGTCGAGGTCCCGAATCTTTTCACCCTGCACCTCGACCTGGTCTGTTAGAACACTCACCTGGACAACGGAGAGACATCGGCGTTAATCACACAAAGTACTCTGAGAGCACACGCTGTAGGTCCTAAAAAAAACTACAGCTCCCAGCTGTTTTAGGAAATGATTTATTCTTCCTGGAGAATAAAGCGATGCACTCGTTGTGACCTCTGTTGTGAATGATGAATGCCTGTGGGGCTGAGTGCAACAGACAGGGCAGGGACGAGGGAAAGGGTTGAGGGACGGATTGACAAATTGTTGGTTGTGTTGTTTTTCATGAGATTTGTAGACACAAAGAGACTAACAGAGTAATCCTTCACCATGTACGTACAATGCCACCATTTCATTAATTTTGCAACTATTTAGAAAAAGGAAAACAGCATAGCTAACCTAAAAACTAATGAACAACATTTACTCAGCTCCTCAAACTATTTGGTCTTTTCCAACTATCAGAAAAGCTGTTCAGTCTTCATCGATTTGTTTTGAACTAAGGAACCCATGCTTTATAAAAAGGCCACGTGTAACAATACAGATCAATTGTTCCCATCCACCAAACAGACAAATAAACAAACCAACAAATGGCTCTGAGAGGGTGATCATTTCTCAGCCACGTAAAATACTGCTTAGCTGCGTATTCGGGAGCAGTTGTTGTGCTGCCTTGCAGCGACAATGAGGAGTTGTGCTCTCTAACCTGAAGAACAAGACACTCTTTGTCACACTCCAGCCGGGACAGACGTTCTTGGTAGACTGCTTCTGAGCCGTGGCCGTTGGTCTGAAATGAGAAACAACATGTGCTGGTTTCTGTTGTCTGAACAAATTTGCTGCATTTGTTGCACGACTTCCATAAGGTTTCCAACTGTTCTTTCTTATGAAACGGGAGCTCGCGAAAGAAGAGGGGGGCGGGCCTTTGGCTGTCATGTTGAAATACGGTCCAGATGCAAACACACACCAGCCTTGAGCCACATGGATCTTCTAATGGGTGCACATCTCTTAAGTGATTAACTACATAACCTCCCTGACAATGAACTCACATGCTTTTCCCTTGAAAACCTTGCGAGTTGAGTTTCCAGAGAAACATGCGAGGGTCAATATCACCTGAAAGTGATTTGAAAATGGAATCAAAAGCGTCCTCGTCTCTCCAACTCACACACGGAGAGACGAGGCTGTGAGGGAAGAAAAACAAGCGCCTCGGCCAACTATCAACGTGCGTTTGGAGGATGGAAACTATTTGCAGCATGACTCCTATAGAACCTCCATCATTCATAAAGCACGTCATAACAGCCCTTCTACAGTAAACAGAGTCAGCGTAAAGGCAGCGGAGCACGATCAAGAGATGCAGAAGTTAAGAGGATGAGTCATACCAGACCAGCTCTCAGAGACGCTGGTGTTATTAGACACAGACGCTTTATAATGACAGTGCTGTTTGAGATCTGCTCAAAAGCTCATTTGCAATAGCTGCGTCTGCGACCACGTTTGTGTTCGTTTATGGATGCTTGCGAGCTCGTGAGCAGAACTGTTATTGTTGTAGCTAAGATGCTGAAGGTTTGTGCCGCGATAAATCTCATCCGGCTCTCAAGCGGACACATGAAATGACAAGTGAGAAAAGCTCCAGTATACACACATATCTCATCTTCTGTTTCAAACACGTGCAACACACACCACACCACCCGTCGAGGGTGAATAGCCCTTTATAAATGGACCCGTTACCAGTCGTCCCTGCAGCCACTCTACCAGCCCGTCTGCGGTGGAATCGGGGATCTGACATCGCAGGTTGTTCCTCTCCTCGTTGTCCATGAGCTCCAGAACTCCCCGCAGGTCCTCCAGCAGGTGCAGCACCCGGAGGCCCCCCAAGAACGGCGAGGTGGGCGACTGGCAGTCAAACAGCCCGTTGGAGTAGTCCATGGCCTTGGAGCCTGGAGAGAAAGAGAGGAAGAGTTAGATGTGAGATAACAATAAGAAGAACTCGTTATTCCACACAAATCATTGAGTGAAGTTCAGAAATATTATAGCTGCTGTTAATCTAATGTGTTCAATAATCAAAGTAATCAAACCGGCAGGTTTTATCATAAATAAATAACTTTTAGACAGACAATCGGATACACAGACAAAAACATATCTAATTTCTTACAGTCGCTTATTTTTGTACTTTTATCTTAAAAAAAAAAAAAAAAAAAAAAAAGTATTTAAAATATAAGATGGACTTAATTTCCTCTGAGAACATTCAGCTCTTCACTGAAGACATTGACTTTCATTTAGTATTCATTTCACTCCTACACAAGTTCATGTTTTTGCAAAATAACAGCGTCAATAACTGTACTTAGGTGCTTAATGTTATTCTCTCCACCTCGGCATCATCACACACACTCCTCGGCTTTTATCAAACATCATGTGACACAGTATAATCAATTAATGCCAATTAAATCTTCTCCTGCATCTGTGGAAACCACATTTTCTGATTTGTCTTGGAAGCAAACGCAGCAGCGTGTCGACTGAACTCGAGTGCATGATGTTCCCACCGTGTGCAGCCGCCTTCTCCTCACCATCTGTCATCCGTCCTAAATGCCACAACGAAGACGTCCAACGGTAACAAAGAGGGGGCTAAATAAGTAAATATACAAAAACAAAAAGCATGGCTTCCCCCACAGTAGCGAGGGAGCGGGGGGGCTTGATGACGGCCGTGGAGGAACAGTGGGGATGTCATGTGATCGGCTGCCTCGCTCCCGTTGGAAAGGTCGGCGCTATAATTACACACATCAGCGGAAAAAGTGGGGACTCTGAAAGTGAAGCCTGCTCTGCTCATCTGCAGCGGCACAAGTCCACAGTACGCCAAACTCACAGAGCTTGAATAATCATTAGTGTGCGTCACTGCGGGGACAATGGAAACTTTCTTGCATTTCTTATGGTGGAGGTATGCAGCGGCGGCAGAAAGGGCCAGTGATCCTGCGGCACACATTCAGCATTATTCCAAAACCTGTGTGTGTATTCAGGGGATCACGTTAGACTGCAGGTAGAAGGGGAAGGAGAAGGGAACATTGTGTAACCGTCTACCGTCAATGCTTTCCAGATGTGGGCCAGACTCTATAGTGTGCCATGCCCACTTTAAAAAGTGCTATGGTCTTAAAGCCCAAGTGTAGGATGTGGTTACCTGCTATGATCCCGTCCATTTGCTCCAAGGCGGCGGCCAACATATCGCTGGCGTCGGACATCATCTTGTGCTCAATGAATCTGAAAAAAAACATGAAAATATGTCATCCTCCAACAATGGTAAAAGCATTGTACATTAAAAAGAGGATGTGGTATTAATATCTCAATTAGTCCTTAACGTGATTAGACAAATGGAAACTCAGCTAACGTAAAATGACTTCTGGGCAACATCCATCTGCTAAAGAAGATTGTACAATTGGATCTAAACTCCGTAACAACCACTAAAAAGAACCGTGTGATGAAAGGATGCATTAAACAAAATAACCTCTTCATGTGAAAACAATAATCAGATTAATCAATAATGAATCATTATCTTAAGCTCTAATCCCGTGTATTTCTACAGGTTAAAGCGTTGCTTTAGTTCTGAACAAGCATCACTGTTAAACTTTAAAACCTGCCTGCGTGTTTTTACATTTACCATCTGTCAAAACAAGTGTTATCACTAATCCTGTTATGGTAAAAGCTCTAATTCTTCCTTTTCAAAAGGCTGCTGCATCAAATTAACTCTGCAGTCTGTGCCACAAAAAAACAGACAAAAAAACAAAAGTGATCTCCGGGACTTATTACCCAGAAAGCCCTATTTCCGGCGGTCGGGCGGTCACGGGTGCTCACGGGCGGGCTCCTATCTGGAATAGTGGCACTACTCTCCCAGTGGCCTCTGGCCCGTAGCATCGCCATGCTCGGCATCTCAAACATCCATAACAACGTGGGACAGTATCCTCCATGACCAAACACGCATCGCTCTCTCCTTCACTCGCACACATCTCTTCAAAATCTGATTGAAAAAACCCACAGAGGAACTAAAGCCCAGGACTATCAACATTGAAACAGTGGCTCTGCTTGTTCAGAAGTCTCATTGTAGGGGGGGGCGGGGTTTACTTCATGTCCTCCCTCATAGGGGTCACAGTGTCACACCCAGCAGGGTACAACATTAAGAGCGTAATCAAACCAACGGCCTCAATATGAGCTGGAGGCCGCTGTTGGAACAAGGGGCCTTAAGTGCTGCATTTCAACTACACACCCCACAGAAGGGAGAAGAACACCACACACACTGCTTTGTATCGGCCCCACTCTATCAATGTAACTTTAAGATTCATCGTGAACCGAATTCTCGTGACGTGCACGAACACTTGAAACATTTCGAGCCATCTGAAAGGACAGAGCAGGACTGCAGGTCGTTACAGTTCTCGTCTTCCTACGAATACTTTTTCCAGAATTTGATGGAAACCCATCACTCCCTCTCACCGGGGTGGAAGATATATTTGATCAGCTGCTGGTTTCACCCCGCGGGAGGTAAACCTAAAAGCTTGTTTCTTTTTCCAAAAAGACACATTTTCTGTTGAGAATCCAAATATATAAGAAACTACATGAAGAGAGAACCACCCGTGTGTGCTGCCATCTTCTGCTCTACTCGGCTATCTCTTCTGGTCACGGTGCGACCCACGGGCGTAGAGATGAAACTAATCCCAGTGCGTTACCACCGTCCTTCCTGTCTCTGCTGTCTCGTGATAGAAGCCACATCACAACTGGTGTCATGGGATTCAAGAGAAATTCAATTGAGTTGAAACCAGAGATTCACTTCAGCAAGTGTGCAACTTTCAGGTTTCATTCATGAGACAGAATCACGTTTGCACAGAAACTTTCCACGTGAGCAACTTTGTCCATTCTTCAGACTCATAGAAGCAGTCCCTTTAAAAGGCCGGGCTGAGATATTTTCCACTTCTTTTCGCGTCAGTGACGAGCCGGTCATCCGTGAAGAATCTTCAGACTAAAGAAACCCTGAGGAGAGAAGCCCACAGGCGAGGGTCCATCTCCCGAGCGGCGTGTAGCGCCGTCTGTAATGATGATTGATAAGAGTGGAGGAGTGAGCACTACACACATTCCTGAGCAGGTTAGTTATCCCGAAGAAAAGCAGACACTGAGGCCTGGTACTGACATCCCCGCTGGCCTCCTCCCCCTGCATCCTTCACACTAAACCCAGAGGACTGGATTCTAGCTGGTGGTGGTGTTACTCAGTTTGTCAATTAAACCCTAAAAGAACACTGAAACAGACGACGAATCGACCGTATTAACACGCATCGTGTGAGCAGAAGAAGCCTGGTGTATCCTCCATTCATTCTCAACTATTAAGAGTCTGAGACACACTGGCTCCATGTGTTCCATAACCATGGACGCTGTTACTTTGACTCAATAAATACATCATCCTGCTGCTTTAAATTACCCGCCAAAGCACAAAATGTGTATTAATCCACCGCAGCAAATAGTCCCCAATAGATGCATTATTTACTCCTGATCGAGGGAATTACAGAAGCTTTCTCTAAATAAAACTATAAACGTGTGATCTGTTTTGAACGGTTCACGTCTTCACTAGGAAATGAACGGGCTTGTGGATGAGCGCCACAGACAAGGCAGGCAAGTCAGAAAGTATTGAGAGATAAATGGATAACATTGTGTTGGTCGACCTGTTTTAAATGATCCGATGCAATCAATCTAACAGCAACATTTCCTGTCTATTCTATAGAAATACAAATATGTCTGAAAACTGAACTTAACCGCTGTACGGTGGTTTTAACATCAACCAGATGGAGAGAGGGAGGTATGGAGGGGGAGGGACAATGGGCTGGGATTACTTGATGCTGTGCTGAGTGGTGGGGCTCTAAAACACACACACATAAATACACAAACACACGCCTCACACACTCCGATAGCTCACTTCCAGCTGTGGTACAGATGTGCATTTCAGAATTGAACTGGCTGAGAATAGTAACAGAGCAGCATTAGCTGTTGTAGTGCAGTAACTGGTCATCGCGTGGTGCAAGTGTCAATCAAAACATTCTAATATATTCTACTTATAGCTGGTGCATAATAGTTTGGCTGATGAACTATGAGGACACAATGCCAACGTGTCCTTTGTTTTGACAGCACCAGCAGACTGTCATCATCATTCATAACCAGCAGTGTCTTGTCCCGCGGGTTATGAATAATATACCGCGTATATTAAATCGTTGGCCTCCGCCGGCTTTTGACTAAAGTCAGATTTGATCCTTTACTCAAAACGGCTATCAAACTCATTATCAAGAGAAATAGAACAAAGTCAGATTTCATTGCTGCATCACGAAGCCACCGGAGCAGTTGTGTTTCATTACAGAAAGATATCGACCATCCTCAGCTGAATGTAGTCAATAACAACAACACTGTAGAGCACTATAAGTACAGTTTCCTCAGCTCTCATATCCTCGTGCACTATGCTCTCTCTTGCAAGAAGTGTTTCTGAATAAATAAAGCCTAATTAACTAAACTATCAGGGATATTAGCCAAGGGATTTGGGGCAGCCAGTAGCAGTTTGGGATTCCCACTCTAAGTCGATTAGTCTTCTTGGTCTCAGTCAACGAAGATTACTCGAGTCGATGAAACGTTTTTTTCACGCTGAATGATGTATTTCAGTGCAACTCCTCTCTAGTGAACAGGATTTAAAGAGCTGCTCTTCTGTGAGTCTTTGTGGAGAAACTCAGTGTTAGAGGTCTTTATTGATTAGTTAACTAAATCTTTGAATGTTCGTCAACTCACCATTTCTTTGGTCGAGGGCGGCCCTGATGATGGTATTGATAGGAGTAGTTGCAGTAACGTTTGCAGATAGTAACGTATCTCAATTAGAGTCTCAACTGACACTTAATGTTCAAGCATGAGCTGCTGATTATTATTTCTTATGTATTAATAAAATGTTAGAAAATGCGAAATCACAAGCTCCCAGAGCCCCAAGAACAAGTCTTCAAATGTCTTATTTTATCCGCTCAACTGTCAGAAACCCAAATATATTCATTGTGCGATCATATAAGACCAAGACAGTGGTAGACCCGTGGGAGTCTATCGCTGGTGAAATCCAGCCCCCAGTCTCTGTTTACCTTTCCCCCTGACAGATGTGCAGTGGACTTTAAGTTTGGGCTGCTGTGAGGTCAGACTGTTTGACACAAAGGAGCAGCCATCCAACCACACGGAGACCCCCGGCACAGACAACTCTTTGTCTCTCACAGACTCACATGATAGCGCCTGATCTCAAGTTATTGCAGCTTTGTTCCATGCGGCCCTCGACTCAGCCTCCATCGCAGTCAGAAAGCACATTGGAGGGGAAAAAAATAATAATTGTGGAAAGTGCCGGGAGGCAAGAAGAGGAACCGAGTAAGGAAAACGGACTTTCATTGCGTCTGTTATCAAGGACTCGGCACAGAAGCTTCCCGAGTCGTATTTAGGGCATAATGTCGCAGTTGCTGGTGTAAAATGAGAAAAAGCAGAATGAGGTAGACCTGCGACGGACGACCATAAACACAGAGGCATGCCTACACGCAGGAAGACCGTCACTCAGTCCTGTCAGGAAGCGTTTCCTGGCACATACTGGAGGGACGTCTTCCTCTTCGCCACCGGCACTGACCGCACTCACAAATCTAAACACTCCTAAAGCCACTCGTACAGCTCATTTATGAACCCGGGCCCTGTAATTAGAGACAAATGTTTCAGATTAAGCTGAGATTTTAATTTGATTTCAGAAGCACGTAAACATCCCAATATATCATGTGACTTTTAAGTGACACCTCCCTTCTTTCAGAAGACACCACCACAAGAGAAATGTACCAAGAATGCAAAGAATGCAAATTTCTAGACGTGTGGCTCCAAGAAAAAGAGACATTTAAGAAGTAGAAAGCATTTGGGTCTGTGCCATGCTGATCTTATACTGCAGGCCAAGTCTGCTGCCAATACAAACTCGGGTCAATAACAGACTGCCTGTTGCCTGAGAAAACAAGATGATTGGTGCCAGGATGTGTGTCTTAAACACTCACTGGGCGATGTGAAATTTGAGTTTTAATACGCCAACACGTCCAGTGTTAACATCAGCAAGCAGGCGTGCAACAGCGTGGACCTCCTGGGCAGCCGACCATCAGCCATGGGAGAGTGCGGGGCGGGATACAAATATGGTTATTGTCAGAGAAGGAAATAAAATCCTTTGTTATGCTTTCAGTTCTCTGCCCGGAAGCCAAGACCTCATCAGAGTAGAGAGGAGGGCTGCCAGCAGGTCATGCAGCGTCTTCAGGAGGGAGGGTTTCTCCTGAACTACTTCATACGACAAAAAGGTTCACCAAACAACGGCTGCAGAGGTCTGAGATTAAGCCGGCACTGGACCAGAGGCAGCTTTAAAGTGCTGCCTCTGCCTTTTACACAGATAATGTGAGAGGTTCACCGCTGTGGCTTAGAACATTAATGGACATGATGCATGAATTAGAGGTGGTTAAATAACATACAAAGACAGCATCATTCTAAACTATAATGTACCAAATCTGAGGAAATATGATTGTCTCCGTTGACACATTGTTTCTTTGTTCTTCTCTGTGGGTGGCATTTGTCATGATATAAAATAGCTTCATTGTGTTTTATGTTCATGTGAAAGCAATAGTGATGCAGCTGTTATTGATTAGTGTACTAACTGCCTTAAACACAATCATGAATAAATAGTAAAACTCTCAATGATATAAGCTTATTTCTTATGATACCATAGCAAGAAAGTTAAATAATGACGTTAATAGACCACAAATACGGTTAATAGTGTAAGCAACGTTGACGTAGAAATAAATGATATATTAGATAACGTTAACATAACCAAAGTATCACTAAGAAGTAAAAATGAGCTACGCTAAACTCTGCGTAACAAACATTTTGGATCTCGCTACGTTGCGTCCAATTAAAAGGAGTTTAACGCAATTAAGTTAACGAAACTTTAAAACATTTATACTTCGGTTTAACTTACAGTTTTCGACCAATAAATGAAGATCCTGCAGTCTCCGGCGGCTTTACTCCAAACACTCTTCACAGGAGCTTCATGGTCCCGTTTCTCTGTGAACTGAACTTTTCATCCAGACCATGGGGATCCAAACTAAAATAGACATTTCGAGCGAAGTCAAGCTAAAAAGAAAATGCCGCAAGGGCACTTCCGGAAAGAAGGCCTTCAAAATAAAAGCGAGAACTCGGGTCAATCGCTGGTAGTGGTCCCAAGATAAATGGGAGGGGATACAAGCAGATTTAAGAAAGGAAAAATGAATTCTAAATGTTTCCGCCTTTTACTTGAAACTATCTTTTTTCTGAGTTTTTCTTTGTTTCAGGCCCCGAAACACTCAAATCAAACGATTTAAGGAGGAAAATTCACTGGTTTTTTTTAAGGGATTGAAATAAAAATGATTAGTTAAGAAAATGTGGGCATTTTTCCTTGAAGTGAGGAATGTTTCTCACACTTGTTTATGTCGTGTTAAGTGAATTCAATGTTTGGGATTAAAATCCGCACTATTTTGAAAGTCCGTAACGGAAACAATATATGTTATAACATCGGCTTAACACTGCGCATGCGTTGAACACCAACAACGTCGACGCGCATGTTAATATTGACAATTTACTTATTTTGCACGGTTTAGCAAACACGTGGACCCTCCAAAGCAGATAAAACCCTCAACTACTGGAAAAGTATTAGGAAAAAATAAACTAGCATGACAACAATATTTGTTCAGAATTAATCGGATACTATTTGAATCGAATGATCGAAAAGGAGGTTTAAAATGACGAGTAGACCATGACAGCAACAGTTTGATGATAGTTGTAAAGCCTGAAATCAACTCAATGAGCTGCAAGCACATCCCAGTCTTCAGTGCTTTTGATTTTTAATTCAGGTGGTTTTCTCCACATCTCATTTGTACTTTTATGGTTTGATTTCATTTCTATTGTTGAAGAAGAGATAATGGCTTTACCTGGAGGCACTTTATGATTGCACTAAATGAAACGTGTATCCAAGGAATCAGTTTCTGTTGAGTTCTTTTATAGATATCTTAAATTAACTAAGAGTGACTTCTCCTAATTTTAGATTTTCTTTGCTCGGTTTTATCCTTTTTATATCTGTTTCTTCACCTCATTTCTCACTAAAATCGTATCACGTCTTCAATGCAACAAAGACAAACAAGACAGGATATTAAATTCTGTAAAAACACCAAATACAGGACAGAATATAAACATATTGGAAGGCAGAAGGCGTTTCACAGTGAAACTGAGCAGATTGTGCAAACTGCATAAGGGAAATGATTACAGTGTCAGGCTGTTACAGTATTCACAGCATCAGCAGGGACGAGGAAAGAAGTGGTGAGATAAGTGAGGGCAGCTCACTAAAGACGTAGCGGAGCTCTAACAAAGTGGCCAGTGCGTGGGCGGCCGGCTGGGATCAAACACAGCAAATGACGTCACACAGGGTGCAAATTAAAAGCCCTATTCTTGGCGAGAAAGGTCGTAGTCATCTTGAGTCCATTTGAGAATAATCACCTGTTGTTTTCCCAAAAAAAAAATTCTCCTGATAAATATGTTCTCACACACATTCTCTCTGCTCTGCAACAGTTGGGAGGTTGGTGTGTGTGGGTGTGTGTGTGTGTGTGTGGGTGAGATATGAAAAGACAGACCAGCAGGTGGAGTTAGAGGTGTGCTCATGATCTCTGGATGAACTCAACCTTAAGGAGCCTTGGCTTCTTATAACACAGCAAGAGCGTGTACTGTGGACATGATGTAAGACTGTCCCTGAAGCAGAACAGCTGATTTGTCTCTCTGTCTGGAGAAAACGCTGCATGGCGGTGTTTGATTTAATGATATGTACACTTAAACAGCACTGTCTTACTGAGCAACAAAGTGAGGACATTTCCGTGCCATCTAAGCTTTTTCTGTACGATGTCTGACATCCTGCAAACATTTTGCAAGTTAATGTATTTTTTGTCTTTCATGCATCAGTTCCACTGGCTGCATTTGAGGATCAATGCATAAACTAATAGAGGTTGTCAGCTAAAGTCTTACTCTATAACTGAAGATCAGAACAGGCATAATTTTGATGTAACGTAACGATAATGGAATTTTATAGTGACGTTGACAAATAATCTATTTTTTACGTGGATTGTTTGCTGCTGTCTGAAACCAAATCCACTTTATAATGTCAGCTTGGGTCCCAATAATATTATTGCATCCATACTTTTCCAGATTTCGTAAACATTAAAGGAAATCTCTGAGTAAATATCAGACACAGCACACAAAGAAATATATTAAAGGGAAAGTTCACCCCAAAATCAAAAATACTATTTTCCCCTCTTATCCATCTAGTTTGTTTGGGTGTGAGTTGCCTTGTTTGGGAGATTTCGGCCGTCGAGATGTCTGCCTTCTCTCCAATATAATGGGACGATATGAAATTCTGCTCGTGGTGCTCAAAGCAACCAAAAAAATACATTTTAAAAACTCAACAGCAATGTCTCTTTCCTGAATTAATGACCCGCTCACTCAATAATAATATTCCATAAGTCTTGTTATGAGCAGTTTTCCTATAAAATGTCAGACTAAATAATGATATGACAACATAATCCTATTACAAGGTTAATAGAGACCTGAGCGCATTCAAAATATTATATGATACGCTTTGAGAAAACCATAAATCTACAAAACTCAATTTGTCATGAGCCGACAAAAAGGAGAAGGGTAAAGGTCTCGAACCCAAAACACTTAATCCTTCAGTTTACTTAATTAGAGATTCAATATTGCTGTTTCTTTGACATATACACAATACATTCTCCTCTAATAGCAGCCTCTACACACAGACATACACACAGACATACTGATGCAGATGTTCCCACAGAGAGGCCTCTGTGGGAACATCTGCATCAGTATGTCTGATGCAAGTTAACTGATCTCACACATGCCTCATAAGACGTATTCCTCTGAGCCTCTGAGGGGAAAGTGTCCGTCTGCACCTCATCATATAGCAATCACAGCAGTAATTGGTCATTTTTTAAAACCTCCTCTCATCATCTTTTTTTTATTACAGCACTTACTGCTGATGAAATCTTCAAGTTGATTGGAGTCCTGACACATTACCTTTCATTTGAGTGGAAGTTAATGCTGCTGAAAGCTTGAACTTGGTGTTATTCTGGCTTCATGAAGTCTTTTGTGTTATCTAGAACCATCTCGGGAGACAAACGTCCCAGAGCATCCTATCACACGGCATGATTTTAGTGGCCATGGCAACCTTGCTGCTTGGAAGTATAGCTATACAACCCTGTGAAATATGTTTAATTTCTTTGCGTGGGGCAGAGAGCCAGAAGCGACTCAAAACCAAACGCGGCTGAATTGATGTCAAGTTGTTCTGGTTGAAGCCGGGGCGTTGGGCACCGTGGCGAGGTCAGGTGCTCTTGTTGGAGCACGTTAATGGATGTGGAAGCACTCAGGTTACAGAAATATCCAGCAGGGCAAATCATAATTCATAGCTGAGTCACCTGCCGGTGCTGAACGCTGCATTGAAACCTCCACATGGTGAGCTTCTTTTTTTACTTTCAGTACACACAGTGAAGACAAACATCCACAGGTGTCTAATGATCAATACTGAAAACAATCATTCGCTTTGGCTAATTTTTTTTCACAGACATGTTTTTTCGATAAATGTCAAGTCCACAGCACAATATCCAGCGTGAGAATTGTGAAGGACAGCTGCAGAGAGACAATCTGCATTTGACCCTTCACTGTGCTGCTGTTGTCGGCAGGAGTAGGAAGTCTAATAACTACAAAAACATGAAAGGGCTGCATGAGGTCACAAACTGTAAATCCAGATTCTACCCTTTTTACACTGTAATTGCCTCTTATTCCTCTTTGTCGTTGGCTACTGCTGCTGCTCTCGCTATCCTTTCATGTGATACCTTACATATTATGTCTGCTGCTGCCTCTTCTCTCTGGAGGAAAATGGAATGAAACAAAAGCTATCTGTCTTGTCACCTTGTTGCACGCGACAGTTTAAAACCGCAATTTCTTTTTTTTATCACTTATTCTTTATTGCACCAACGAATTATAGATAATACAGCACGTTTCCAATTACATTTTGATTATTTAACACAGCTACTCCTCAACCCTGCCAGCCAGACTTAGCGTGTTTTGTCCCCAAAGGGGAAAGATGAGAATCGAGAAGCATTTTGGCCGTCGCCATCTTGGTTTTTTGCAACCTGTGAATGGAAGTGATTATATTTGGACTGCAGAGGAGTTACAAATCACAAAGCAGCCCCGCCCTAAAGCATCCCCTGCTTTATGGTCTGTTTGACTGTAAATGGACCATAATTTACTAGATGAACATCATGCTGTATTGAAGAAGACTTGAAACTAGAGATTGAGACCATAAACTCATGTTTACAATGTTTAATGAGGTAATAAATCAAGAGAGAAGTAGAGTAATTTTCTCATAGACTTCTATACAACCAGAGGCGTCGCCCCCTGCTGGACACTAGAGGGAATGCAGGTTTAAGACACTTCAGGATTGGCTTCACTTTTCAGAACCGGAGCTTGCCGCCCGGTTATATATCGTAGCATTATGTACATCATTTACATTTTACATAGTCCTTTATTTCTATTGTTCTTGTATTTCTCTTTACTAATAAATAAGAGCAACTGTAACTCACCAATTGGGCAAAATAAGCAATATGAATCAGGTACCAACCCCATTTGTCTATTTCTCGGTATCAGATGTGCTCTATGCCAGTGATTGATTCTGACCATGATTCCTTTAAAAACACAATCAATGCCGACTGAAGACCAACAAATGCCGAGCCTCTGCTCCTTCAGTTTGGATTGACAATGCAGAAACTGAAGTGCAGCCGAAAGTGAAGAGATTCAAACTCTTGTCGTCGAGCCGGCAGGATTTCCCGAGATCACTTTTGAAAGGATGAGTGATCCCTTCATTAGCCGAGAGCTGAGGGAAGAGACGCTGAGACGGTATTATTTCATCGTTCGGCTCCCTGCTGATGAGGGCTGGGAGATCACATTCCTTTGTTATTACGTTATTTCTTATGTAACACACCTGACAGGGTGATAA